AATAAAGTTTTTTAATTGTAATAATGGAAAGCATTAACAGATGTTACAAACTGGTTGTTTTGCTCTATTTGCAGGTGTTGAAACTGACTGCATTAGTCTGATGACAAAACAGAAAAACAAACAAGGCCCTCGCTCTCCATTCAACAGGATTCTCTCTCTTTTTCAAAGGTTTGGAACAGATCAAATGATAAAAAGAAATGTTTGTAAGTGGAGTTTAGACTTTTGTGTGGTATTACATCCTGCAATAAATATGTATGACAAGGTAGTTTTAGACAGATCAGGCCTGAGTGGAACTATTCAGATGCTCCCCTTCACAGTAAGAATGGTGTTAAATAATATTTGCCAAAGACCTGCACATAATTTTCTTCTTGATAAGCAACTGATTTCAGCAAAACTTGGAAGGGACCCCAAATAGTATCAAAGTAGCAATTTACATGTAGCATTCAAGTAAACATCGAACTGATTTCATCTGTATTCTTCAAAACACACTTCTGAAACTTTTCATTCTGTGTTCTATATTACATGTTGGAACTTCAGCCCATGTGTCAGTCAATTATTGAGTATTAAGCTGGGGAAAAAAATTAGAATTTTGTTTAAAAGGTACTGCCAGGTGTTTCTCATCTAATGGAAACACTGTTAATATTCTGAACAAAGAGCACTCCTACATCTTTTGTTGGAAAACTGCACAGTGTGTACGCAGTATCAGACATAGACAAGCTATGCTCCTATCTTCTGTGGTCTCATACTATTGCATTTCTTTTCCAGCACTTCTGTAATGGAGTCAGAGACCTTGCTGTTTGAGGACAAACATTCCAGACTGGCAATTCAATAATGGTTGATGGAGTACTGTAATTTAAAAACCAGTAATGTAGTCTTTACCTAATTAATAGTACTGTTTTGCAAGCATGCAGACAAAAGTTGATGAAAAATCACCCCTGCTAAAATTATTGCAGTATTCTCAACTGAACATTCCGCAGACCTTCCAAATAACCTGGCTTTATGCAGTCTTTTTCATGCTGAGGAACAAGACTTCCTATCATGATTACTTTCATGAAACATGGGAACACAGAGTAGCATATGTGATCAAATTACACGAACGCTAGTGAATCAGGCTCCTCTTCTCAGACATGATGAATGGGAATATAAGATCCTGTGAAGAATGTGCGTTCTTCAGTCAATATATCTAAGTTGTCTTTCTACTGCTAGACTAGGTCATTGAGAGCTCACGTATGTTCTCTACGCTGAGTGCAGGAGGTAACCTGGGTATCAGCTGAGGGGGCAACCAAGCACAACAGCTGTGATTATGGGCTAGAGAGAAGCGAAAGGTAAGTGACAGTGGGACCAGAGATTCATAAAGAGGCTTTTCTGATTTTCTTTTCCAAAAGATTTAGTGGGTAGAGATGCAGCATTTTCTTTCTTGTAAGGAAGATGTTGCTTCTGGCTTCCTTTCCCTCTCTCTGAATTCTGTAGCTTTTAGAATTGGGATGAGCCATACATCAAAAAGAGAAATTTGTCATATCTGTGGGTCTTTTGCACAGTAATTCACTAAATGAATACAGTGATTTTCTCTTCAATCACCATTATAACCTGTCTTCTGCTCAGTTCTTAGTTCTGGAAAATATACTTCCTTGACAAGAAGAGGAAGAGAATGACTATAGATTGAAGCTGTCAGTTTTCCCCTTTGTTGACTCAAAACTACAAGAAGCCACTAACACATTAGCTTCAAATGCATATGATGCGTACATATTCCAGCACTCAATGCCAAAACATGTCTTGGCTGAGAGCATAATCTGAAAGTTAGCAAATATATGTGATAGGCACGTGACCTTTGCTTTACAAATTCATCTTCTATTTTTGCTCCGAATGTTTTTCCTCAGTGGAAAAAGAATGGCCAAAATAAAGAGCATCTGCTGTGCAGACAGCAAACTCAGATGCAGCCAACTATGTTCCTCTGGCTTTCAGTGCTCAAGGAAAATATAACTACATGATGTGTTAGCAGTTGGAGGGAGTCAGAACGTGAAGTTGCTTAGCAAAACTAAGTATACAAATGGAAAAAATGCCTAACCTTTTAAAACTGAAAATATTTTTAAGAAATGTAATGACCTAGGTTTGGACATTTTTCAGGTAAGTGAGCTGGGAGTTCAGCATTCACTCAGGTGATCAGTCAGAAAGCTACTGGCAGTAAGATGTATTACCTCCTTTTTAAACACCTCTCTAACTAATGCTCAGTTTTAAAACCATATCAAATCACCATTCAGAAACACACAAGAGGGATACAATTCCAAGTAAGTTTTTTTTAGATAAAACATTTTAGATAAAACATTTTTAGATAAAACATTTAAAACACTTATCTCAAAAATAATTTCACCAAGGGAAAAGGCCAAACTGAAAAACACAAAAAATAGCAAACCACCATATTTCTGTCTCCATACTTTTATAGCTACAAGCAACACGTCTAAGTCATTTACAAAACCAAAAGAAACTTATTCTTAGTGTGCTTTTCTTAAGCAACAGATTCCCTTCTTTCTATAATAACTTTCATTACAATTACACTTTCCCATTGTTTTTTATCAATTATAACGTTCACCAGAGGTAAAGATCATTTCAAAACTAAGTAAGATGGCAGTAAATGACATTCATTTTCAGGTATTTTGCATTTTCAGGGTCTATCTAGTTCAGCATTAATCAACTGTGTTTATTTGGCTCACTTTTAGCAACACAAGAAACAGTATATACAGAGTGGCACTTCAGCTGAGCTTCAGTGGCAGTGATTATCAATCACTAGAAAATCAAAAGCACGTGCTGATCTTAAAAATAACCTTTTAAAGAATTGCTTCCAAATTGCCTTGAATTAGAATGTTGCATTAAGATCAAATTATCTTACAAAAATATACTTAACAATTTACCTGGGAATTGGAGAACCTTTCAGCCCTTTTTTGTTCGAAAGAACGTATTTTAGCTTCACTCATCTTATCAGAGTCTGCAAGAACATAGCATCTAGGAGAGTATGACTCTGACAAACAACTGAGCAACCTCAGGATTTCTGTTGTGTGACCTCCTGCAAAACCGAAATATGTTGCTGTTAGTATATGAAATATTTTGTAATCTTCAATTTTTTCAGTTGAATTAGTCACTTTTACTTTTAAAGCTTATTAGTACTAATAATATTGGTAACACTCTTCTAAAATGAAAAGATTCAATTAAAGGATGATTGAGTAACACGAAGGCAATTCAGCTCCCAGTGCAGCTAAACTGATGGAAGTATTTCAGTTAAATGAGATCACAAAGAAATGAGACGTTTAATGTCCTGTACATGATGCAAAATTAATTTGGCAATTGCACTGTAGTCCATATTAAAAAACCACACCCTAGTGCGACTGTCCAAATAAAACTACATGAGAGCCCACTCGTGGCTGCGCTGTGGAGCAGAGACTCTCAGTGAGCACACTGAGTGCAGGCAGAATTCAGGGACTGTGCTATCCCAGCTCGTAATGTTGAAAACATATTGGCAATGATTTCTGAAGCTAAGCCAGGGTAAAAGCTGAGTGCTGGGACACAAACAGTCTGGCCCCTGCCTAAGGCTTCACCTACTGCCCTTGAATGGGTGTTGACAACCTTCTAACTGCAAGGTCACTTTGTTCAGGGAGCTGAGCTGGCAGTAAACCAAAGAGAAGGGGAGACCGTACTCTTGCTATGGCGTAGGGCTGATCTTTTTGTCAGTTTGGTTTCCAGAACTGAAGCCATGTGAATAATTGTAACAATGAAGTGGGGAGGGGGTCACCTGGGGATCAGTTTGGCTGGATCAAAATACCAAGCCCTGAAATATGTGCATGGCCATTTACTGGGTCTATTACCTCTAATTCTGCTGGAAGCTGCAGACCAAAATCATGAACGGAATGTATTCCTGCTATCTCAGGTTGTGTTTCATCAGCCTCCTAAGAGACCTTTGCTGTCAGAGACAGGTGTTCTGAGCTGGCAAACATCTGACCAGCACAGAGCCACGCTGCTGGGCTGGCACAGGAATTTGGCACTTTCCTGCATGATCTATGCAGTGTTTTACAAACACTGGAGGGCTTTTCTCTTGAGCAATGGCCTATTGAAGCCTTCAGTAATTTCAGTGCAACCATCCAAGTATTTCCAAGAGCAGGAGATTCTGAATTCAAAAAGTCTCGAACAATTGAAGATGACATAATGTTGGTCAGTGTTCTGGCAGCAGCACGACGGCAGGGTTAGTTCCTCACCGTCAGCGTGTGAAACTCACGCAGAGGTGATGAGCCCGGGGCTGCTCTGGCCACCTCCGCTGCCAGTTTGCAAGGAAGTCTAACTTATTGAAGGGAACGGACCGTTCAGCAGCCCGGGAAAGGTCATCGAGGTGCACCCGCAGAGCTCACGGGGCGAGGAGGCGGGCCGGGCTGGGGTCTGTCTGCCCCTCCTCACGGCGGCGCACCGCGACTACAGCTCCCGGCGTGCACCGCGGCACAACGCCAGCCCCGCGTTCGGTCTCGCGCCGCGCTGCGTGCCGGGAGCCGTAGTTCCCGTGCCCGCCGCGAGCTCCTTGAGCAGCGCCTCACTCACCGGAGCCGGCCACCACTAGCAGCCTGAGAGGGGCCGTCCGCCGTCCACGGCGTCTCCTCGCCAGGAGCGCCCAGGGGACGAGCAGCAAGGGCAGCAGCAGGAGGAGGAGGGAGGCCGCGGTGCCGCCCGGCGGCGGGAACGAAGGCTGCATGGCGCGGCCCGAGCGCCCGCCGCCCCGCGCGGAAGCGCCTCCCGGCAGACGGTGGCCGGCGCGGCCCAAACCTCCTCGCGCCTGCACGAGAGCCGGGGGGCGGCGGGGCGCCGAGGCGGAGCGGGGCCGGGCCGGGCCGGGTGCCGGTGGGGGCGGTGCGTGCGGGCGGCGGGGGCTGACCCGACGCTGCCGGACGGCGGGACAGACAGCGATGCGCGTGGCCTCGCACCCGTCCTCCGCGTGCGCCGCGCTCTCGCCTGCGTGCATCGGGAGGCGCGCACCGCTGCCCGTCCTCTGGCGCTGCACGGAGCGCAGGCCGGCACGCAGGAGCGAGCTTCGCCCAGGTATGTGTGCGCAGAGCGCCTAACGATGCGTGAAGTAGGAATAGCAAGGCTTTACTGCCGCTCACGATTCTCGGTTTGATTCGTTCTAATGCTTCAGCCCCGTATTTCTGTACGAAGCCTGCGGCACCAGATCCGCGTTCTTTCCATCGCTGCAGCGTCCAGCTTCGTGCGGGCGGCTGAGCGCAGGACTGACCTCGGGCGAGGGGTGCTGACAAAGCGAGGGTTGCGTTTGGTGATTAGGGGAGAGGGACCTCCGTCAGAGCCGCCTTCAGCCTAGCAGGTACGATCGCGCGCTCCAGAACTTCTCAGAGCGGTCCGACGCCGCGGCTTTGTGGATGGCGTGTCAGCCACGTGCCGGTAACCGCTGTGCGCGCCTGCCTCGTGTGCACGGGCACGGGAGCTCCAACGCTGCAGTTTTAGCCTTGGAAACTGGACGGTTCTCTGTCACTTGTCACAAAAACGTGTGCCAGCCATGGGCTCGAGTAACTGCTGCGTCATTTACAAATAAGGTGCGTGCTTCCCAGCTACCATCCGCCGGCTTAGGAGCTGCGTGAATCCTCCTGATTCATGGCCAGCATTTCTTCGCGTTGTGTGTTGTCCTTTCTTACGTCGCTGCAACGTGTAATTAGGCAGTTGTCTGAAGCAGACTATTAAAAGTATTGCCATAGCACGGTCTTCCACTCAGATGAGTAACTGTCCTGTAGACAGCCTCACAAAAGCAATTGCTACTTAATCATCACTGACATTTGGAAACAACAAGGCATTTGGAAACAACAATTAATAGTTCTGTTGAGGATGTATAAATCTCAGAAATTATTTTTGCTTTCCACTTAATTAGCTTCATAAAACTAATAATTAGGAACAATAGAGATGTGTGACCTTAAATTACAGAAGAAAGGACGAAAGCAATGGGGTCCTCTTTTGGAAAGTAACTACGATGTTAAAACGAGTTAACAAGTTGTATGGGCAATTTAATCCTATTTTTGTCTGTTTTGGTATCTTTCTCCTCTTATGCTTTTTCAGTGAAAAGAATGTCCTTAGTGTAAAATATATCCCAGATTACTACAGGGAGTGTAGACAGCAACTGTTTTTACTTAATAATTTCTTTTTTTCAGGGCTTTTCTTACAGCTTCTCTTTGCTCTATTTTTTTTTTTCTTTTTTTTTTTTTCTTCATACTGTAAGAAGTTTTAAGGAGCTGCCCTTTGTTGGGCTTTGTATTCAGAAAAACAGTCTTGAAACCTTGGCAGCAGAGAATAATATGAAAAACTTGAATTTATTTTCATCTTTTTGTGTTATTTCCGCTGTATATGTGTATTTCTCCTTTCTATGCTGAATATCTCTGTGAGGATGTTTTGGTGAAATTCATTAAAAACTGTTCTAAGCCTGGTAAAATTGGAAGATTTATTTATTTGGTTGGTTGGTTGGTCGAGCAAGTTGTTTAGAAACAAGAGGAAAAGGTTAGAGTGATACATACCTGTTCCTTGGACTAGGAAACTGAGAATCTGATGATTGCTTGGATACAAAGCAAAGATGCTGAGGTTTCAGGGAGTCTAGAAAGGTAACAACAGACTCCTAGGACAAGTGCTGGAAGTTTTAGTCATTGGGAATTCTGCTGAATACCAGATATAGCTTTCAAGAAGCAACTGATTGCAAAGCTTGAGGGAAGAGTCAGAGTTTGGTGAGGCCAGTTAAAATAACTGTTTAAAGACTGAATAGGCAATCTGCAAGCTGCAAACCTAAAGCTTTCAGATGTTTTATTTCTTTTATTCTTTTTGAAAACTGAGTAGAGTGAGCCTGTAGAGGTATCATCTGCAGTGTAACACTGCTAATTATGTCTTTTGTTTTTCAGTAGGACTTTTTTTCCCCACTGTGTTTGCATTCTTTCATATCGCAGCAACTCCCTGCTTACAGTCAGTGTCCTGGAGCAGGGAAATAGCAGGCTTAGTCCTCTAGGAGTTAAGTAGCTCAATAGATGGGGCGGGCAGGTTACTCTCCATTTGGCTGTGTTGCACACGCAGTCATCAGTTCCTTGTCCAAGTGCCTTGAGAATGCTTTGTCTCAGCATTGAGTATGCATGTGAAAGTTGATAACAGAAAGCAGCAACTCTCCTGAAGTTTAGCACATTGTGGTCACATTGACTAAATGATGTGAAGCAGGTGAGGTATGGGACTTTTACACGGAAGACCACAGTTAGTGACAGACAACAGTTTTTTTCAAGATTGTAAAATGAAAAATGCTGCCACTGAATGCAGAACCTATTTGTGTGAGAGAAGCAGTACAGTCGCCCTGAAATAATATGTCAGAAAGTGATGTCAGTGCAGTAATTGCAAAGGCTCTTTCCAGTACTTCTGCTGCATATGCAGAAAGTACCTTTGAACTTTGTTACTGAAGGAGAAATTATTCACATTCATTCTATGTAACTGATTGCTGTTATCCAAAAGAAAACTTTGAATCTCACGGGTAGGAAAAAATAGATTTAAAAAAAATGGTATTGCATTTTTTTTCCTATTTACTACTGTATAAAGAAAAACATGCTGCTGTCCTTTTTGTGTGTGAATATTCTCTGTGGAATATTCTTACTGGTACATTTGGTGCATGTCTCCAAGAAACTCTTTTCCAGCAACTAAAGTACACCTTGTGTTCATGCTTTCTTAACTGGCACTTTGATTGCTTCATTTCTCCTTCTAATGATAAGTTCTAGAAGTAGGCATAAGAAGTATTATGAATATAAAATTAATTAAATAGGAAAATGAAGTACTTGTGTTGTTCAGATGGTATTTTGCTTTTGGTGCCTTCTTAGATAAGTATCTTCTAAATTCCTTGTCCATTTGATGAGGTTTTTTCAGGTTGTTCAGTCTGTGATTTTTTACTCCAAAGTAACTTACAGGTAGGGTAAGTAGATGAAGTGACTCTGGACAGAATCTTCATACAGCATTCCTGGAGTTTAATGATATTACATTACAACAAAAATTTTCAGACTAGAAGGCTTGCTCAGGAGATTCCTGCCAGCCCCAGGGAACATGCCCCACACATACTTCTTGCACTTGTTTTCTTAAGTGCAGTCATTTTGCTGTGTTTTGAGCGAGAATGCAGCTCTACGAACATCTCCAGCAGCACAACTGGAGGTAAACTACCAAAACAGTTTGAGGTTGGGTGAGGAAAAGGGCAGGAACCTGTCAGCCAGGCTTTGCCACTGGAAAGATCGCCCTATGGAATGCTTTATCATGTTAAACCTCAGTCATGTTATGTATCTAAATATGTTGTCCGATTAGAGAAAGAACTTCTGACTGGGTTCCTAATCAATCTTTTCTCATGCTAGAACTGTAGAGCTGTGTCTGGAAGACTTTAGAACAATACCAGCATCATGGATGTTGTGACAAATTCTGCTGTTGGGAAGAGCAGGGATTGTTAAGGTTGTAGACTAGAGTGCTGTGCAGGAGCTGGGGACAAGGCGGAGCAGGCAGCTGGTCAGTGTCCAAATGAGAGATGTGCTCATTTAATGGCAGTATCAGGGTGTATCAGAGTCAGTCTGGCAAAATGCATCCCTTTTAGCTGCAGTTACTTTCAGCTACTTTGTTTGGACTGAGTTTACTTTTACTTTTTCGTGAGTCAGAAACTTAAAAAGCTGCTATCATTGCAATTATAGTAACGCAATCTTAGAAGTCCTGATTAGTATTTGGGATCAATAACATCTGTATGTTCACTTTACAGTTAGTACTGTGCTTCCTGGCATGACAATGTTTCTCATATATATTTAAGATGGTTCCCATTTATTTAAACACAAAGAAAAAACATTTGCAAACAGTTGAACAGTGCTTGATGCCACTGCCTGAAAAGCTGGAACAAAATCTCTCAAATAATGAGATTAATTCTCTGAATTAAATTGCCTTCTTTCTCCCATTCACATTTGCCATTCTTTCCATTTTGATTTCCAGTAGTGTGCATCGGTGGCAGACAACAAAGTGGTTGTTAGCTTACAGCTAAATAAGGAAGGTATCCTTCCCTGCAGCTGCCTGCAGATTTTACATTTCTTGAGAAATACCCAGATTTCCTTTCTGGCTGTGACAAGTTTCTGTATGTGGGCTGTGGGAATGGGCGAGGAGGGAAGAGGCAGCTTATGGAAGTCTCTTTGGGCCAAAGTACCACCTATGAGTTTGCAATCAAAGTAGCAATTTGTAGGGAAAATGTTTTTCTGTGCTAGGCACGAGGTGCGCTGCTACCAGATGTCCCATCAGCCCGGTCTGACAGCACACCAGCGAGCCAGCATTGCTCCAATGACCCCACATTTGGTAGCAGCGTGAATGTGTTCTGAATGTGGTTTTAGGAAGCATGAGCATTAGTGGTATACAGCACCAAAAGTGCATACTGCAGCTTGCCCTGATTACTGGGCAGTACACTTAGGGAGCGGTCCTGAAACATAATGTAAACTCGTGTTCTTTGATCTATTCAAAGTGTTGGGAGAAAGAGGCTATTGTTTCACAGCTCAGAAGTACTGAGCAGCCTGGAGTTCACTGGGTGCCTCTGGCTGCTCAGCCTGGACAAATAAGTCCCTCCCTACTCCTCCTTGCTTCTTTGTGTATATTTATATTCCTAAAAATAAGTATGGAGTCTGATACTACCTTCCTGAAAATAAATCTTCAAGTCTGCTCATAATGTAAAAAGGAATTTGCAGCATACTCGGTGGTGAGGTTGTAGGATTCCCTGCACGTTTCCTGCTTCATTAAAACTGGTGAGTTCCAGTGATGGATCTGTGAGCAGAATGTGGGGGCACACATTTGCTTTGCTTTCTTTGGATCCTTGCTGCCAGGAGAAATTTGGCCATTGCTAATGCTGCTGGTAGAGGGAGACAGCCTTATCCATGACCTCATCCATCAGTTTGCATCAGCATATTCTTCCTCCTCTCAGAGGTACTTGGAAATTGGTACTTGGATGACACTGCTGGCATCTCAGGTCTGTTTGTAGGTTCCAGTACTCTGCCCTCAGCATGTTCGGGTTTTAGAAAAATGTTTCTCACCCTTTTATGCTCTCTTCTTCCCCTGCTTATGCAGATATGAAGTGTGATGCTCTCCACAGTAAGGATGAGTTCCTGAGTTGAAAGAGGGAACATTTCTGAGCTGTTAAAATTTCTGAAGATCTGGCATTGAATTAGTAAAAATACTGGAGCTGGGAATGGAAAAAAAAAAAAAAAAGAGGTCATATAAAGAAGGAAGAGATGATGTGCTCTGGTTTTGTTCTATGCTGTATTTGGTTCTCATTTCTCTCCCTCCCCTTTTTCTTGTGTCTTTACAGTTATATTTTAAAATGTCATTTATTGACTGTTGTTTGGGGATGCTGCCAGGTATGGCTGGAGGTCTGGGGATTGGTCCAGACCCTGTTAGAGGCCATTTAGTGTAATGACTTCATGAGCTCTCCATGGAAATTGAATTCTTTGTAGGTTTATAAAGACTGGTCAAGTTACCTCAGTATTTTAGTTTGTACAAGCCTGTGTATTGATGTTGTAAGACAATATATTAAAAATTTGGAATCTGCCATTCCTTCTTTTGCTATTTTCTGTTTTGTTACAAACATGTAAGATGTGAAGTCCAGACAAACTATTAATGAAAAGCTCTCACAGTTAACAATCCAAATAAAACAAGATAACTTGCCTTCTGCACTACATTTTAAGTCTTCAATTATGTAATCAATACACCGTTTAAAAACAGGTAATTTTTTTTTTTTTTCCCATCAACCTCAGATGCATAATGTTGTTCTCTCAACGAATAAATGAATTGGGAAATTGTACACAATTTGCATCAACTATTGTGAATTTAGTGCATGTGCCATGAGGGTTGGTCCGTTCCTGTTGTTGTGAATTAAACAATGTTAATGAGACAATTGCTTAGAGCTAAGGAGTTATGTTAAGTATTTTGCTGACTGACTATTAGTGTATGACTGAAAAGAAGTAAAACTTATGCTTGTGAAAGCACTCAGGAGATGTCATGGTAGCTCCTGATTTATTAATGCTGGATTAAAGACAAGTTTAAAAAGTAGAATTTCAAAATAGAGATCTTGCATGTGATTTCATATTATTTTAAAAACACTTTGAAGACAAATTATGTTTTCTTTTCTTCTGGACCTTTGTATCTGAGGACTGGTATGATTGGAGATGCCAGCAGTTTTTACACAGGAGTTAGCCATGCCAAGAGTGTGTTCATGCACTGAAATATTTTTTTTTGTTTTGCATCTAATTGAGAAACCATCAGGTAAATGGCAGTCACCTTTCAGAAGTCCCATCCATGGGAAGAACAATTTGTTCAAAATTTGTTCTCCGTGTTCAAAACATGGAGAAATTCCTGGCTCTGGAATTCCCTTCCCCATGTGTTTGTTTTGGTAGTCAAGATCAGCATCAGCAGAAGCCGTGATCCTTGCAACTTCCACAGCATGGATGGGGAATGTGTTCTCTTCCAGATTATTTTTTATTGTAGCAGTATGCAGGAATTACTGGGACAGGTGCTGTACAAATGTAAGATGTCCCTGTTTTAAGGAGATGTAATTTTTGTGTTTTTTTTAAACAAAGATTAATTATGCGAAAAGCAGTGTATTGCCTGGCTTCTTGTATTTTCTTTAGGATAATTTGACAAATAAGCATTTTGTTTAGTGCCCAGATGGCCTACATTTGTGATGATCAGATGTTCTGAGTTCTGAACGTGGTGCACATGTAGTGCTGTGTGCAGTGAGTCGAGCGCTTGCTGTGTGCACGTGGAGTGCAGGGCGACCACAACGTCCCTGACCTGTGTGTGGCACAGTGTGTGTGTGGGCCTTGGGGCTGGAACATCGAGGTCCTGCTGCCCAGGATAGCTGGGATCATAGAATCATAGAATCATAGAATCACCAAGGTTGGAAAAGACCTAAAAGATCACCCAGTCCAACCGTTCACCTATTCCCAATAGCTCCTACTAAACCATGTCCCTCAACACTACATCCAGACTTTCCTTGAACACCCCCAGGCTCGGTGACTCCACCACCTCCCTGGGCAGTCCGTTCCAGTGCCTGACCACCCTTTCTGAAAAGTAATACTTCCTCATGTCCAGCCTGAATCTCCCCTGCCGTAGCTTGAAGCCATTCCCCCTGGTCCTATCACTAATGACACGAGAGAAGAGGCCGACCCCCAGCTCACTACAACCTCCCTTCAGGAGGTTATAGAGAGCAATGAGGTCTCCCCTGAGCCTCCTCTTCTCCAGGCTGAACATTCCCAGCTCCTTCAGCCTCTCCTCATATGGCCTGTGTTCCAGACCCCTCACCAGCTTTGTTGCCCTCCTTTGAACACGTTCCAGGGCCTCAATATCTTTCTTGCAGTGAGGGGCCCAAAACTGGACACAGTACTCGAGGTGCGGCCTCACCAGTGCTGAATATAGGGGAACAATCACCTCTCTGCTCCTGCTTGCAACACTGTTTCTGATGCAAGCCAGGATGCCATTGGCCTTCTTGGCCACCTGGGCACACTGTCAGCTCATGTTCAGCTGAGCATCAATCAATACCCCCAGGTCCATTTCCTCTACGCAGTCCTCCAGCCACACCGCCCCAAGCCTGTAGCGTCGCCTGGGGTTGTTGTGGCCGAAGTGCAGGACCCGGCATTTGGCCTTGTTGAAACTCATCCCATTGGGTTCCGCCCAGCTCTCCAGCCTGTCCAGATCCCTCTGTAGGGCCTCGCTACCCCCAGGCAGATCCACACTTCCAGCCAATTTGGTGTCATCTGCGAATTTACTGAGGGTGCACTCGATGCCCTCATCGAGGTCATCAATAAAGATATTGAAGAGGACAGGCCCCAGCACCGACCCCTGGGGAACACCACTCACAACCGGTCGCCAGCTGGATTTGACTCCATTTACCACCACTCTCTGTGCCCGGCCCTCCAACCAGCTCCTTACCCAGCCAAGAGTGTAATGTGAAGGCTCTTTCTGTCAGTGGGATGCTATTGTTTCTGCTGGGCATAGTTTCCGCATAGTTTTTATGTGGAAAGAAGAAAGAAGACATTGCCAGAGGAGCTCCAGATGTGTAACACCTGTAACTCCACAAATCAAGTGAACAAGTGCCGAAATGTAGCCGAAATTTATGAAATCCGGTAGTACCATTGTAGCAAAGTGTGTATATGAGCAGTAAAACAAGAAAAAATGTACAATGCTGGACAGAAAGAGTGGTGTTGTCATTGGTGAATATTAAATTTCCAGAAAAATGGCATTGTATACAATTACATTATGGTGTATTTGCTGCAATTCACAGAGACCTTTTGAACTCACTTACAATGTATGCATAGTATGTTTTATGTCGACACTTCCACCTTAGCTTTACTTACACATATTACATAGACAATTAGATTATTTTTCCTGTTTTCTTAACTCATTATTTATTATCTATGTATTTTAAATTCAATTTCTTTCCTAATATTTGTAGATATCTGAGTAAGTTGACCAGAGTGAGTGCTGCTTGTCTGTAAAGATGTTTATGGTGTTTGAATAGCACCAGTGGAAACGGAGGCCTAAAAACTTTCCACTCTGGGTCTGAAAGGAAAGCTTTAGTTCTGTGTTTCAGCATGAAATGATGTAAATCCAATGTTTCTTCTCTTTTTATATCTTTCTTACCAGGGCTGCTGTTTAGATGAGAGATTGGTGAGTTACAGAGCACGAGCTCCTTCACGTGACCAGAACTGCACAGGGACTTGTTTGAAATAATGTGCAGATCCAGGCTGTAGACAGAAGGAAAATCTATAAACCTGCTGGTAGCAATGGAAACTAAGAATTAAACTCTAGGTAAGAAGCTCATAATTGGTAAGAGTGCCAATACAAATTTGTTTTAAATGAATGATCATTGTGGTCCTTTTCAACCCAGGCCATTCTGTGATTCTATGATTCTATAAAATTACAGCATTAACAATTCCACAAGCAGGATTTTTGCAAAAAAAATATTATCAGCAAAAAATAAAGAATAGTACATTCTGGAGCTTTGAAACAGGTACATTTAGGTCATAAAGTATACTTCCTTTAGAAGCAATATATTATACCCATGAGTATTTACTACCCAAAAAGAAATTTAAAAGTTTTAATATGTAAGAGATCAATTTAAATATCATGTTGTTTTCTGAAAAGTTTACAGTAATTGTAAATATTTTTCAATATTGTATTAGCAAACCATGTAGAAAATGTTTTTTTGTTGTTTTTTTTTTAAATTTATTCAGGATTTTAAAAATGGATTTCAATAGCATTTAGGCATAAGTAATATGTCTGCAGGAGGTTTTGTTATTTCTTTGTGCTGCTGAGAAATTTTCCTTCATTTCCTCAAGACTCACAGGTTAGCAAAGGGTGGAAAACTCAGGGAAGATGGTAGATATGCTTTTGTAAAATCTTAAAAATTGACCAAAATATTTGGGAGGAGCTGTATTGTCTGAAGAAACTACATAGCATTTTCAGATTAAAGATATTTTAATGTCAGATACATTATAAACCAATCGTTTTGCACCATGGTACATTCTGAAAAAGGCCTCATTGGATGCAGGGCAGCTGCTATGGCATGTGCCAAAGCTGAGGCTGATCTACGAGAGGCTTAGAAGCTGCTTTTAGCATGCAGATGAGTGATAGTCTCCCAAGTGTGCATTCTCCCTCATTACCTGATGTGCTGCTTCTGAGTATCTGATGCTGTCATTTACAGTAGAATACCTAAGGTGAAAACGTGGTTTTATTCTCTACTTAAATTATGCTAATTTTAATTAACAGCCTGCCTATTAAAGAGGCATTGCTTTCTGACCCTTTGCATGTTGAATGGCTGGGAAATAATTTGCTTGGTTGTAGTGCTGCTTGGCTCCAATTTCATGCTTTTCAATCGCATGCCATTACAAAATACATCTCCCATTTTCTGCTGTTCTGACATCACCAAATTCCAGTCACTACCCCATTCCACAGTGCTCTTGTTGCTAAGAGCCTCAGCTATCACAATGCAGAAGGAAATATATGCATGCAAAGAAAATAGTCTTGAATGATCTCAGGCTTCCTCCTGCTGCTTTCAGTGTGCTTCATCTCGTGGATTAGGGAACCAAGAAGTAGCATTAATTTCAGAGCTCTCTAGGTTAAGCCTTTGGGAATTGAATGCTTTCTGCACCCTTAGTTTGCTGATCCTAAGGGTGCATCCAGGTGCAGCATTGTTTATTAAAGGGCATAAGTGACAAAGCTGCAGTGCTGCCTTTATTACTTCATTGCTCAGATGTGTCTTTTGGGCACATCGGGGGAAGAAAACGCATGGAGGAGTGTGAGGCCAATAGCGATAGAAAAAAATACTGTGACAGAAAAGGAAAAGGGGAGAGAAAACAGAGGATAAAGCAGGAAAGAAAAGAGGAAAAAAAAGAGTTGGTGTAATGCAGTTTGATGTTTTTTCATAATGCTGACATGATGTGTCAGCGTAGCGGTTTGTACTGCAGGACGATAAACTCACCATACGCCATTTTGCAGGTCCTCAGTAGCTTCTGGATGGTTATACTTGGGACAATAACGCCAGTAGAGAGGGTAATGCTGCAGGTGAGGTTAACTAAAGGAAGGAGGCAGTGTGTGTTGAGAAATAAATGGAGAAGACAGAAAAACTGGAAGAAAAACTGAAGAAGGGTGGCTGAGATACGGGAAGAGGTTAGCGACCAGACAGCTTTCCAGAACAAGCCTTTGTTTGAGCACTGAGAGTAAGTACTGCTGTCAGAAATGCTGTTTCAAATGGAGAGGTGACTGGAGCTAGGAGAGCTGAATTAACTGATCTGAGATGGAAAAGGGAGAGTGTGTTTAGAGGAAGTAAACTAGTGCAGGGGAAAACTAAGATATTGTTTAATATACTGTTACTCAAATACGTCTCAAGAAATGATATAGTGACCTGTGCTGGAAAGGTAAGATTTACATTCTATGGTACTCAAATCTGAGTGTGTATAACACAGCATGCATCGATGTACAAAACGTGCTGTTTGGAAAGAGTAGATATTGTACTTTTTTTCAGGCAATGCAGCTCGGTAACTATTAACTGGGAACATGCAGAGCGTATGTGGGGGAAGTATACAGAAACAGTGTGTTTTCTCTATGAATTTTTTGTTTTTTGGGGCGTGGGGTAGGAGGAGTTGTGGTGTTTTTTAAATGGCATCTTTTTTTCTGATTTGCAATCACCATTTCCCTCTCATTTTTCAGCTATTTTAGCTAACACCAAATTTAGGTCCTTTCTTTTCAGTGTCTTTTCAGCCATGGGTTGTCTATATTAAATGCTGTAACATTAGCTGCCTACAGTTACTGTGATTACGCTCCAGGGGTGGCCTGAACAATTTTCGTACAATGGAGTTGGCTCTTTTCTCACTCACACCTGTCTAACTGTTGGCTTCAGTGCAGTTGCTCTTGATTCACAACATTGTGAAGGGAGAATTGTGCTTGCTCTTTCATACATCCCTTCATCTCCACAATTTTTTTTGCTTACATGTATAATTGATTCTCTGGGAATATCTCCTGCTGCTGACAGGTAGATTTCCTAAGATGAAAATAAATTTAAGCTCTTCTTAGATTACTGAATTCAATCCATTGCTGCTACAGCACCACATTATATAATTTATTTCATAAACTGATCAGTTTGTGCTTTAAATGTTAAGATTCTACTCTTAATTCAGATGGAAAGGTTAGTTATGTCCTAAGTTCAAAGCCAGAACCAAAATAGTTTTCAGCTGCTCTGGAAGTATTGTGCTTTCTCACATATGCCTCACTTTTCAGTATGGTGGCTGTGATAAAAATTTCATACTCTGCAGAGGCAAGCTCAGCTCTGAGACAACACAGTTTTGAAATAACAGGCATACTTAGAAAGGTGCCGTGGGGTTTTCTATTCATTGTCACCTCTCAGATTTTAGTAGGAGATACAAGCCATCATCTGACAACACATTTCTGCCATACCTGGAGTGTCACTCTGTTTGTCAGTTACAGGAGAAGGATAAGGAACAGGTGCGTAAAACTTGGCTGAAGATGAGCTGCTACTTTCCTTTGACACCCCATCTTAGCAGATCCACTCCACTTCAGCCAGATTTGTTCTTCATTTGTTGAATTTTTTAGCTAGTTGGCATGAAGCTTAAGATCATCAGTGTAACCAAGAGGTTTTGTTGCATGGATGAAAGGAAGAGTCCATTTTTTTTCTCTTAGGTAGCGTAAATAAGAGGATTCAACTGAAACTAACAGAATGCTGTTACCTACAAATGTTACTGTAGTACCCCCATGTCTTCCCTGCTTTTCCAATGCTCTTTCAGCATATTTGCTCTTACATGAAGATGGAAAACGATTTATTTTTCTTGTCCCCTGTTCCTTTATCTCTATGCTACACCTCTGTTTAGCAACTCTGTTGCCCTTACTTCCTTTCCTAGCTGAAGCTTGGCTCCAGAAGTTTTAGTTTGTTATTGGGAAACCTCTTGACAGTTACGATTATTGGGGCAACCGCAAAGGGAGTGATAAAACTGCGTGTAAGATGTATAGCAGCCAGTTGGCTATGGCACTACTATGGTTACTGTTTATCCCACCCTTTGGGTAGTGTATTTCCAATGCAAATAACAGGTGCACTATATGCAGCTGCGGGCCTCCTGGTGCAAGTGCTGTGAGTAGTTGTGCTGCGAGTTCATCAGTGACTTGGATGCTGGACAGGAAGGTGTACTAAGTAAATTTGTGGATAACACTAGATTGGGAGGAGCCGTTGAATCCCTCAAGGATAGAGAAGCCTTGCAGACAGATCTTGGCAAATTAGGGAGCTGCATGAAGTTTAACAAGAGCAAGTACCAGATTCTGTGCCTGGGACAGGGCAGTCCTGCATATGTGTACAGACTGGGGGATGAGAGGCTGGAGAACAGCTCCATAGAAAGAGGTGTGGGGTTTCTGGCTGATGGCACATTGAATATCAGTCAGCAATATGTGCTGGCAGCCAACAGGGACAGTTGTGCCCTGGTGTACATCAGGACCAACACTGCCACTGAGCAAGGGGGGGGTGGGGGGGTGGGGGAGGGACTGTCTTGTTTTGCTCTGTGCTGTGCAACCTCACCTCTGTAAGCACTGTGGGCAGGTTTTGATGCCAGAATGTAAGAAGGATGGAATGCTATTAGAGAGCATCCAGAGAAGGACTACAAAGATGTTGAAGGGTCTGGAGGTCAAGGCATGTGTGGAGCAGCTGAGATCCCTGCGTTTGCTCAGCCCAGAGCAGTGGCTGAGGGAGGCTTCGTGGCGGCTGCACAGAGGGAGCAGAGGGGCAGTGCTGAGTTCTGCTGTCTGTGACAGGGCCGAAGGGAATAACATGGAGCTGTGCTGTGGAGGGGCAGGTGGGTGTTAGGAACAGGGTCTGCACCTGAGGACAGTGGGCATGTCTCCAAACCTGCATGAGTTCAGGAAGCTTTTGGCCAGCACTCTCGGACATAGGGTTTGGGTCCTGTCTGGAGGCAGGAATTGGACTCTGATCCTTCCAACTCAGGATATTCTGTGATTCATGCAACACTTTATGAGAGTGTAAATTTACTCTCTTGATTTTTGTTGGAGTTTCCTTGCCCATGCAGTACTGGCATAGTATGTTTGCACAGAATACTTCTTGGGGTTTGCGTGGACGTAGGACATCCAAGTTGAAGCTGCTGAAGGTATGCAGTAACATCCAATTCCAAATGTATAGGCAATGCTCAGAATATTCCTGCAGGATATTTCTAGCTGATAAAGAGAACAAATAACAAAAGTAAGTTAGCCTGAGCACACAGTAGCCATATTTAAACATGCATACAGCTTTTCCTTCTGCTGCAATGCTTTTGTACCTCCTTAGCCGGTTCTCTTTTATCTGTAAATCCTTTTTGTCAGAAGGATGAGAGATCCCACAGGGAGAGCAGTTGCCAGCCAGGAATTCTCAGTGCATCATCATCTGTCAGCTTTCCAGTCAGCTTTGCTCAACAAAGCACATGTGGCTGTTGAGAGACAGCATTGGTTCTGGTGTTTGACAGTGCTCATTGCGGGCCAAGGTGCAAGCAGCGAGACAGGTCAGACAAGTTTCACCCACACACTGTGCTGGGCCAAAGGAACTATTTGGTAAGATGTGTACTACACAGGCCTGATGTAGAGGTCTGGGGAGTGTCTGGCTTGTCTTGTAGATGCTTCCTAACTCTGTAGGTGATGACTTATTTTGAGGTTTAAAACTCTGATAGGTGGTCTGGCAGAGTTATCTGTTCAGATTAAGACACTACCATGCTCATCTGCCTGCTTTATCCTGCTGCTAGTACTACCACACTTTGATGGAATAGCCTCCAGGTCACAAGCTGGCATATTAAACAATTACCTCCTTTAATTGTTGTGCTCTGCTACAGCAATCATGACCTCAGGCAGCTGGGAGAAAGAACACCTTAAGACAAGGCTGAAAAATATACTAGATCTCGTTGGTCAGAGCTTCTGGTTGTGAGCTGTAAGCAGAGAGTCTTTGCCAGACCTGCCTCTCCATGTGTCCCTGTGGGCTTGAGAACAGCCACTGCTGCCTTTGCTGGTGCCACAGATTTTTGGTCACCCCAGAGTCCCGCTGCTCATTTGAATGGAATATGGTTATTGCAGTCATTTTGCTTAGGAAGGGGAAGGTATGTACAAAGTACGTACAAAATACGTACAAAGAAGCACATATAGGATATGTACAAATAAATTTTAAATTTGGTGATACAGGGCTAAGCAAAAATTGAGGCCTGCTCATTGGAAAGTGAATTTTTGAAGAAAATTCTCTTTGGGCTTTTCTAGTTTGCCATTATGAAAGTGGTTTAAGATCCCACCATGCTGTTCTTTGGCTTTGTTGTTTATTCTGTTTCATCAGAAGCCCCAGATATACGTAATAGAGGGCAGGTTGAAATATTCCACTATGTGAAGAATAAACTGATACAACAGAGTAAAATATGAGAGCTTTTTAAATCCCAATTTCATTAAGAAATTGTGTGTACGTGCTATTGCTGTCTTTGTTTGTCCATCTGTTTGATGCTGGAAGAAGGTTGGAAGCAGGATTAAGATCTCCTGCTTTGTTCAGCTGAGTATGTCATGTGGAATTTTGTTACCAAAGTGCTGCCAGAGTCAGTCAGCCGTAGGACACAAGTCCAGCTGAAGTCAAGCCTCAGCAGTCCGGATCTTTACACAAATTCTTACCTGGCGGTTGATTTATTTGTTCAGCAATGGATTAAGCTTTAAACAAGTACAGGTGCTGGGGATGTGCCCTGCCCACCTCCTACGGGTTTCCAGTAGGCAATGTCAGTTTCGGTTCTGTCTTTGAGCCTTTGTATTCCTGCTATGAGAGACATCTTGCAAGAGAAATTAACAAGCACAGCTGGGATAGATGGTTTCTTGGGCAACGGCAGCTGATCCTGTTGCAATTACATCTGAATACCTTTAAAGTTATGTTCGTTGAGAGAACTTACACATTTTTTATCTTAAAGATCAGGCATCCTTGCTGGAAAATGGAAGTTGGAGTGGTTTAGGATGCATTTGATGAAGGTTTCAAAAGGAAACAATTTTGAGCATTTTGTTTCCTGCTTGGTAAGATTTACCATTTCCTGGGAGAAGTTAACCAAGTCCATCAATCTTCAGTGTTTAATTTTGTTAATGCAATTTTGCTTTGATTTTCTATTTTTTAATAAATACAATGTAACGGCTCAAAGATGCAAAGTGAATAATAATTTAAGCAAAATCGGAGCATCTGATTTCAAAACCAGCAAGTATCAGCAGTACCTGCACTCTGCACAACCCAGGATCACGGGTACTGCACCCTTCATACGCACGGCGCGGTCGAGGAGCATTTTTCCCATGAAATATATTCGGCGGCAGGTCTAGAGAAAGGCGCGGTGGCTGGAATTCTATGGAAGGGCGAAACGCTCTGCGTAGCAGCCCTTTTTCCTCCCTCGACACGTAAGCCTTTCTCAGCCCCGCGCATTTAGTAGCAGAATTTGGGGTCCAGAGTCCAGCGCGGCGGAGAGGCGGTGAGTGCGCTCGGCGGGGCGGGCGTGGTGCTGTCGGGAAGCCCCAGGGCGGGAGGCTGCGGTGCGGCCGTCCCCCGCAGCTGACGGCGAGCGGTGCGGCCGTTCCGGTTCGCGTCGGGTTTTGGCTCGGCGCGGCAATGCCACCGCGGTGGGGCGGTGCTTGCTGGCCCCGCTCCGGGCGCTGCGGTGTGCCCGCACCCAGCCGCTACCGCAGCCGCCGCCGCGCCCCGATCCGCGGTGCCCGTCGGCGCCGCCTCCCGCGGGCGCGGTTCGCCGTGGGCTCCGGGGTCGGGGAAGCCGCACTCCCCTGGCGGAGCCCTGAGGCAGGTGGCGGCTCGGCCGCTTTAAGGCTGCGCCTGCCGTAACCCGAGCATCCCGTGCGGGAAGGGCTGGTCTCGCCGCCGCCGAGAGGCACGGCTGCAGCTCGGCCCCGGTAGCCCCGCTTTCAGGTGCGGCGGGCCGGGAAAAGTGGGCTCTCACTCGTCTTCTGTCTCCCCTCCCGGCTCCGTTAGCCGGCGAGGACGAGTGGACGGAGGCTACGAAGCGGAGGTAAAGGCGCAGGGGCGGCGCAGCTCAGTCCCTTCGTCCCCACCCCTGCCGGGCTGCGCGGCGGCTCCCTCCCTCCGTTACTCTTTCCTTCCCTCTCTCGGCGACCGCCCCGCACGGGGCCGCCCCCAGCCCGCGGGCCGCAGCCGGCGGCGCTGGGGGCCGTGGTAGCGCGGAGCGCAGCGGACGTCTTTCTCCCGCGGCCGACAGCAGCGTTGCCCTCTGCTCGGGCCGGCCCTGCCCCTGCCCTTACCCCCGCCCGCGGAGTCCCGCCGCTCCCGGCTGGGCGCACTCCGAGGTAACGCGGCCCCGGGCCGCTGCTCGCGCGTTCCTGCGGGGCTTCGGTGCCGCGCCTCGGGACCGCTCGGGCTGCGCTCGCCGTGTCTCCGAGAAGTTCTCTCTTTCCTTCCTTCTCTGTTTTCCCCCTTTCTTCCCCGCTGAGAACTTCTTGCAGTGTGTGAGGAGATGGATGTTTCTGATAAATGACATAGCAACACGTAGCTCGCTTCGGTACCAAACTGCGTCGCATAGGGTCGCTGCCACGGCGCTCCGGAGCATAGCCGTAAGTGGAGCTTGGCTGTAAATGTCCTTACATAGAACAGGGAATGTCTTAACCTACGATTGTTATTGCTTTTCTTCGTGTCTCCGTTCTTCTGCTGCGATGTGGTAGGGATATTTCCTGCATTTCCTACTGAGCTAACAAATGTAGTTCCAAGCTAATCAGGGCAGTAGAAACTGCAGTTCAGACCCAACAACACTTGAGCATTGCAGCTGGTTTATTATTAGGTTTAATATAATGTGTGCCAACAGTCAGCAGTAGCACAGAGTTCTTTGCAAATTACCATAGTAAGGTTTACAAGGGTTGGGTTGAGCTGTGAGCTTTAACCAGACCAGGAGAGCACGGCGCTGAGCGGGATGCCCTGGTATTGCTCGCAGTTTTACCACATTATCTTGTTTGGAAAGTGATCCTGTGTGTCTTGCAGTCCAGCCTGGCAGAGGTGAGGGCTGTGGGCCTTATGTCTCATGCTGTGCCTACACACTGGGTTGTGGCAGGGCAGCGTGTCTTAACTGTTTTGATGGGAAAGGCTGATGTGAGCAGAGGAACAGCAATCTGAGCAGGACATAAATGCCGAGTGCCATTGATGGTACAGGTGCTGGATAACTCTACTCCTCCTTTATGCTCTCAGTAAGTGCTGGCTTCTTGCTATCAGAAGTTGCTAATTGTTTCATAGTGGGGGTGAATGCATTCTGAGTTTATATATATCTACTTAATGGTTTTCTTTTCTGTGTTTTTTTGTTTTTTTTTTTTTTTCCTCTCTCCTTGATTTTCAAGTAGAAACAGAATGTGAGGAATAGCACGTGGTATTAATACCAGATGAAAGGATTGTATTTTCAGCTCTTTCTGAGTACGACTGAAAAGTGATGTTATTAGCTCTTTCAAAATTAGTGGGGTCGGTAGAACAGTTTGATACTGTGCTGCTAGAGTGGTGTCTGACTAACACCTTCCTCACTGTTGTCAGCTTCCAGTGTTTGATAATATTTATTTATCTGAAGTCTACTTTGAAAAATGCAGGAGTGAAGTTGTAATTACTGTCTAGCTCAGCGGTTGAGACAATAATCTGGGTAAGCCAGAAGACTGCTGTTCAGTAACTAATGGTGAGGATCCAACACTGTTACATTACTCTTTTCCTGTGTTGCGAAGTAGTTACACCAACTCTCCCCACTATCAGCTGGCTGAATGGTAATCAATGACTGTGCAGTTTGGGGGATAAAGTGTCTGCTCATATATAATCCATGCCATTCTGTGTCCAGGTCGGACTCTGCTGGAATGCTATGAGAAAATACTGGGGCAGAGAGCCACAGCATATTTGAAAGCTGCTTTTGATTTCCTAACTTTGGCTCTTCTCCTTGAGGCAAAGAAACTATATGTAATCAGAAGTGTATTATGGTTGGGTTTTTTATTTGTTTGTTTGTTTGTTTTTAAAGTTATAAAGTTTAGTTCAGCAAGGTGAATGACTTTTCTTACTTAAAACAGAACGTGGTAAGCAACACTTAATTTTCATGGTGAGTGGGACGCAGTTGGAAACAACTTAGACATATGAGAAAAAGTCTATAGCTGAACTGTTCTTCTGTCTCATATAAACATGGTGTTTGCAGGTGGTCCTTGAAGTGAATTAAAACACAGCATTCTTTACTTTACTGAAGTAAAATATGGAATTATTCCTGGACTTTGGCACTTGAACAGTGTTTTGATAAGGCACGTATGAAATCACCTTCTGAAATCAGTATTGCAAAACTCTTCTGAGTATCTGTCAGAGCAACCAGGCACCAGGCGACTGGTTTCTCCTCTGCTGCCATGGTACCTTCCTTGCCAGCATCCCATTTCTGTACTGCTGCTGTAAGTGCTGGGAGGTGTATGTACATCATACTTTAAAGTCCAAGCACGCACTTTCCAATGACTGCTTTTTCCTAAATTCCCCATACGATGTCCATAGAAGAAAGATTAGAAGAAAGGTTAACTCCTTGAAAGTCATTTCTTGCAGTGAATGGCTGGGAGTCTTCTGTTTAATTCCATCATCTCCTGTACTAAAATGAACACCCGCCATGCACTGAAATATCACTTATCTAATGAACTCTTCAGGTGCTGAGGAGTGCTGGTGCTGCAGGAGAAAACTTTTGGACAAAAGAAAGCCATGTTTATGTCAGTGCTTTTGAAAATCAGAGGTATTGCCGTAGCCATTGCAGGTGAATACAATTAGTAGCATGAGAATTGTTATCTTCTAGTTAAAAGAATGTAGGAGAGGACTTCCTACAAATTAAATAATGTGATAACAAAGTTCCAGCCCCAGGAACGCAGTCTGGAATGGGCGTCGCTCAGTGCTCCTCAGTGGGTTTACATCAGAGGCTATAAAATTGAGGTGATTGATCTATTCCTTTAAACTGAGTATTAGAAAATCAGACTTAGCCCCCAGACTCTCCAGTATTAAAAATTGCATAAAATTTGATTTGTTTTTTGTGTACTCTTTGTCAGTGGAGAAATGTAGGGAGAATGGTATGGAAGTGCTTGAGAAAACATGGCATGTATGGACTAGTGTTTGAAACCAAAGTTCCAGTACAATATGTTCTAGAGTAATCCACTGCTGAGCTAGAACTGGTCATCAGATAACCAGGGTGCATTGCAACATGTACGCTTTCAAATTTTAATTTGGAGTAAAAGTGCTCTTTGTGGACTGAACCTTCTCACTGTGCTCACTTAACTGCAGTTTGGGTTGGGTTGCACTGCAGACCTGGAGCGTGTAGGCTGACTTCTCAGTGTTAATGTAAAACATGTTTCCATACATTCACTCACCATTTACCCTACATACTTGACTGTACCTATTTTTTTTACAAGTTGCTATTTTAAATAAAGGACTTTTATTCCTTTCTTTCATTTGTTCTCCCTGGTGCTCATTTCTTTTCATCTGCAATGCAGATATAATTCCAAAAATCAAATGCATGTTCCCTCATTCCACAATGCACGTGAAGTGAATGTGGACAACAGTGTTTAATATCATTCTATCAGTTTTTTTCTTAATGTTTTTTTAAAATTTTTTTTAACCACCGGGTTGTTGTAGTAATATCAATTATGCTAACCTGTAAGCTTTCATTTTGTTTTTAGATGTGACAGCAGTCAGCTAAATAATGGTCTAAATAGCCATCTAAATAGTTTAAAACAAACCATTTGGATTGTGTTTTCCAGTTTGTGTTCAACTTAATACAAATTCACTTTTGTAAGAGTTTGTGGCCTTTGCGAGTCTTGGAATATAAAACACTTCACACACATCAAACTGGAAATGTGTGACAGATGTTTGTGACATCTGGGAAATACCAGTCTGCCTTGTGATGTGCTGGAGATGTATGAGAAATGACTGAAGCATTTAGTGACTGGCATTTGGGTTTGGTATTGTTTAGCTATTGATTTAGGCCTCATGAAGTAGCTAGGCCATCCAGCACCTGAAATCATTGGTTCTGATGACAGGAAGCTCCTTGCTATGTCCAAAGATTAGGCTTTTGTGTGAAGAAGAAGAAGAAAGCCCGAATGCATTGCCTGCATGATATTGCAAGGAGGAGCCCTCAGTTAGGCACAAAAGTGCAAATTGAGAAACCCTGTCTCTGTGAAGTGGAGAAATGTACAGCTGCAGCGAGGCTGATGCTTACTGAAACCTTCTCAGCTGGCCTGAAAATCCCTGCCATGCTTATGTGACTTCACTGTCACTTTTTGAAGTGCTGTCGGTAGCACTTTAAAAACAAGCAAAAACACTACATTAAAAAAAAGAAAAAAAAGTTACAACTTTTACATTAAAAAAAAAGTCTGGGAACACTTTTATACTTCTAGTGAATAGTGCTTCCATTGAGAAGTTAGTTGTCAAAGACACTCTGCTGCTTTAAGTTGAATGGTTGATGAACTGAAATTAACAACTTCTTCTCTTCACAGGCTGAAAAACAATGGCTTCCTTCAGCAACCTGACTATTGGTATCGCTCTTGCCAGTTTTACCATATTCCAGCTCCTGTTCCATGTTTTAAGCTCTTGGGTATCCGCGCGGATAACACCTGGTTTTAGCAATCTCAGCCAAAAAAGGAAGATTGAATGGAATTCAAGGTAAAGTGTTCAAAACAAATGGTAGCTAATGAACTACCACTTGTGGGCGCATGTATTGAAAACTACAGATAAGGATTGGTTAAACATGCACAAGGATTAGCAGGACAGTTCTATGTGCTTAACAAAGTCTGCATGTCGAAGAAGAATCTCCTTCTTGGACATGGAGTTGCAAACACCTGTGTATTAAATGCTTTTTTAGATCATGATGCTCAAGTGAAAAAGGAAGTAAAAGAAAATAGTGATTGGTGAGAGGTACTAAGTTAATGTGGATTAATTTTAGATGACTTCTCTATGATGCTTCTATTTAGAGAATGGGTACGAAATTCCTTTCACCCAGACATGCATGAAAATCATGCCTATTTCAATTTATTCTATGATCTTACTGATAGTATTTCTCTGGGTCGTGCTTTTGTGTGCAAAGCAAGTTACTCTTGTCTCTCACTACTAGTACACTGCATCCTGCTTTAGATAGGTTTTCCAAGTATCTGATAAATTGTCATTGTAGAACTGTGGTGAGGCAGAGTTATACTACAGCTTCAGGACAACTACATCTGTGTTTTGATGAGGAAGGGCAGGAGGATGTTGAGATGTAGAGTAAGTGTTCAGAAAGGAGTTGTGGAAAATTGGTCTAAAAACCAGCCTTGCTCCCTCTGTGTCTCTACAGACCTGCCACTAGGATGTGTGTACCTGTGCTACTCCTGCCCCTTGGGCAGGGCATAGGCAGCAGCTTGTGCAGCCCTGTAAACCTTTCCCTGGGTGGGTGCTGTCCTCTATTTTAAGCTATAAAGGAAGTATAGAGTAGTAACTGCAAGCAGGATAATCACTGAGGTTTTATTTCAAATAAACTTTGAAAGATTATATCTAGTACAGAAGTTTCTCCAACCAGAATGAATTGTTACAGTATAACTTCATGCTCAAGTGGCCTGTTAAACTTTTAAAATATTTTTCAGGTGTTTCTGAAATTCTGTGTTGAGAAGTATGTACTGTACAGTTGTTACTGCACTCAAAAAGCATTATCATTATCGCTCTCCCTCCCCTGTCCTCTTTAAAGGCATTATCAAGTGGATGCTTTTAAAGTTATTTCCTTGCCTGTGCAATATTAGTAACTCAAATAGTTTCGTCCTCCATTTGGCAAATGTCTGCCTGCAGTGCTTTTAAAGGCACCATCTTAATTTCAGTCCGATCTTTGAATAATTGTGTATCTACCAAAACATCTTTCTAGATTGCCAGCTCACGATATCAGTGCAAACTGAGTTTTATCTCTGTGTTAGAAATCGACAATAAAGTCCAACAGGGAAACTAAACTTTTATCATATCGGAGCTGAACTTTTGTCTCAAAGCCACATCAAGTGACCCCTAAATTGCATAATAAGGTTTTTGAGGACATACCTCATGCCTGGTAGCATTATGGTAAGTTGCAAAGCTTTGCATAACAACACACAAGTTGTTTCACAGATCACAAGTGTGCTTGGAAATAAGCTGCTCTGTAATCTCCGGGCTACTTTGCAGTAAGGTGTTTAATTACTCAAGTTGAAAGAGCACCTCATGCTGTTCCCTTCTTTTTAACTTCTTTCCACGATTTTTCTTAGAGCAGGATGTTGATGTTAGCGCTAGATTTTAGATAAATTGTGGTTCAGTTCTGGAATTAAGAGGCATGAAACGTGAGGCACAGCTCATCAGCAGTTTGTTGGTTTTGTATCTGAGGAGGGCACGGAGTGAAAGAAGGGCTGATGGTGCTGGTGATTCTGCAAGAGATTGGCTGTTAACTTTGCTAGCCAAGCACAGCACTTCACCACGCTGCTTCCTCACTTCAGTGTCTCACTGAAGTGAAGAAACGCCCCAAGGAATATCTTATGTGTTCATAGAATAGAGAGACACGTGTCTACCGTGCATATGGCCGTGCGTGTGGAGGAAGTTACTATCTCCTGTTAAAATGAGTTTGATTAGCTTAAATGTTTGAAAAGTAGATGTTTGCTCTTCTGTCTTACATTCAGCTGCTCTAGGGAGGGCTCAGACAAATGGTTCTGTTGGCAGTCCTGAAGGAAACTGGCACAGAGGATGGTCATGCATTTTTATCAGCTCAGCTGGGTCTGGAAGACGGCATCTGCCTGAAATGAGCTGTAGCGTTGAAAATATGCTGTTAGTTTGGAGGGTTTTGTGAGTCGAGCATTTGAGCTGCAGCTCTGGATCATGTTTTCCATATTGTCAGTTTGTTTATTCTGACCTTCCAAGAGCCAAGAGTCAAGAACCAATAAAGAAACTGATTCTGAGATCTTTCAATATGCACATTCTCAAATTGAATTAAAAGTTGCACTTCAACACAGATGTACTGTAACTAATTTGTCATGCAGAAGTTCCTGTCACCTCTTCTGCAACATATATTTGTACTACTATTATGCAGTTGTGGAAATGCGTAGATTTGGTAGGAAAAGAATAAGTATACAGTTTGCCAGTGCACCTGTTATTTTTTTTCTTTGCAGTTTAATGAGGAGTTAAAGGATGCAGGCTTTGACAGTAATTTCAAAGAAATGTACTGAGCTTGATAGCTTGACCTAGTTTCCATATTAAAATGGAGTATTTATCTTATTCTGTGGGGAAACTTCAAAGTCCAGAAATAAGGAAGAAATCTGCTTTTTTCTTTTTTCCTTTTTTTTTTTTGTTTTTCCTTCTTTTTTTTTTTCTTTTTTCTTCTTCAAGTGCTGTGTTTGTATATAGCTTGTAAGCTTATCTGAACTAAGGTTTGAATAAACAGTCACTCCTAAGACAAACTGCAACTGCAAGCTAATGAAGTATAAGCTAGGACAAATTTTACTTCTTTCAGCACTGTGCTCTCCTAAAGTTAAAAAATCCCAAGTATTTCTCAAGCACTAACCTTGCATGCCATGCTTTGTTTTTAAAAGGATGCAAAGTTTCTGGTCTTATGTAGTTCTGTGTTGTGAGAGTCAATGTTTTAATCAAACCACTAATTATCATTAAAATTCTGATAACAGAATTTTACTTTGTTTAAATTTTTTTTTTTTTTTTAATATATATGTAAAACCTATGCTATAATAGATATTAAATGTTCATACTTAGCCTGTTGCATTTGGATATTCAGACTGTTTTTCTCTCTATCCGTTTTCTGGTGTATGGTTGAAAAAGCTGTTGAAAGCATGATGACACTCCTTCAGCAAATGGTAAAAAGGGACATCTTTGATGAGAAGTGACAGAATTTTCTCATACCAGTAGAAGATAATACATCCCTTGGAAACAGACTAAATCCCTCTTTATTCAGCAAAGCTTCTAGAGGAAAAAAAGACAGGACCTGGCCATGCTTGGGGTTTGCCTGTCTCCAGTGCAGGGTGTGCTGCTCTGCCAGCACTTGTGGGCCTGGCTGATTCCTGTGACTTTGTGTAAGACAGGAGGAGTATGAAATAGTGCAAGTGAGTCTGCAAGCTGGTAGGAAGCTGCTGCTGTTACACCTTGGATATGCAGCCGCAGCTCTGGGTTACAAAAGTTTACTCTTTGAGGGCCAGAATCTACTTCAAGCGCTCTACAAATTCTTTCTGAAATTTTCACCAATAGGATTTTCACTTAATGCCCCTCTTTGCAAAACCCAGGCTCAGGAGAATTATTTTTGGGTCATCTTGGTGCCTGAAAGGAGGTACTCACAGGCCAGTCTGAGTATAAAATCAAGGCGCTTTCCTGTGGGTTTTCCATCAAACGAAGCACTGCAGTATTTGAGAACTGGATGTGGCTTTGTCTTTAAGTATTCATTAACAGTAGGTTAATTTGAAAAACAAAAAAACACCTGTAGATCTCAGTTACTTTAGTTTAAAACCACTCTTTCTCTTCAGTGCTCGTCCCCCCACGCCCCCCATCAGAAGATGCTTCTTTATGACTTCCTTTCTCACGTGTTACTGTGTAAGTGGTAAAGCAGAGATGCAATGGGGCATGGCTTTGGGTGTATCCTACCTGCAGTACAGTATAGACAGTGACTGGCAGTATCTCCTTGTGACTGTGATCTGTTTTTCAGGACAGTGTCCACATTCCATGCCTTGGTGGTTGGTGGATTTTGTCTGTATATTTTGTTGTACGATGAAGCTGTTAATGCTGACCATCTCTGGTAAGATGTTGTTATTTACATGTTGTGTTTACACGGTCAAGTAACATAATAGAGCATGGAAAAAGTATCCTGCAATGTATTAATTAGTGTAGTAAATGTTTTATTTCCCTTTAAAATACACAGTTTGATGTATTTACTTTTGTCCATACTACTTTACAATTCCAGATTATTTTGTCAGTGCTAATGCCCTTAGTGTATTGTCTCTGTGAAGTGGGATAGATACCATGCAGTCAATTGATTTGTAATTGCATATTACTAATCTATGGGATTGAGAGTCCAACTCAGTTGGCAAGACTGAAACTATGCTACTTAGTACAATTATTTTTAAATTGAATTGAAATGCTCTTTCAAATCATTGCGGGGGTGGAGGAAGTGGAGCCTACTATCTATATAAAATACATATGTAAAAGGTGAGAGGTTAGGATGTTATACTGTAGCCTCCCAAAAGGCTTCTACCAAGAAGTATGAAGGAGTTCTAAGGGATTCTATCTTTACAGGGAATAGAATTTTTTAATCAATAGATTTCAAATGTTTTCTCTATTCATCAAATATTCCATCTTAAGCATCCTTTTTTTTAATGTTTATTTCTATTGAGTGATATTGTCTTGTTTCATGCTTACTTTTTTGGGGCAGGATATGTTTCTTGCTTTGTGTAATTGGTATTTTGACATTTCATTCACTACCTTCTGGAACTCTCCCTCTGGAAGAGGCCATGTAGTAGTTAATCACTCTTCAGGAGTAACAAGTTTCATTTCATATTTCTGCCACAGGGTGCTGTTTTTGTTGTAGGTCTGCAGTATGATTCAGTTTAAACTCAGGTAAATTTAACACGTGATTCTTACTTTGCTTTTTGGTACTGTAAACTAATGATGGTACGGTATGGACTAGACAAGATTGGGTGCTTGAAGCTATGAATTCTGATGGTATCTCTGCCACTGATTTCTTATGTGGCTTTCTTAAACGTAACACTGATTCAGAAAGCAAATGTGAACAATGCTGGCCTCTTACTTTTGTAGTGATACATGATTAATTTGTTTTTTTGACTTTGTTTCATTGTATTCTGGTATCTCTGGAGTGACTGTATACAATCTCCAGTATCTTTTGAGATCATTAACCTTGTTTAAAAGCAGTAGGTTATTATAACTTGATCTCTGTATGGATTGTGGTAAGCTTTATCTTATACAAGCTTTTATCTTGGTTTGCTTGAGTAGACCTTCTTCTAAACAGTACAAAAGAAGTAATGAGTGATAGAAAGAAGTATGACTTGCTGGTGATAAATTGTCTGCACACTTACTAAATTATCCTGCTGTATAAAAAATCGAATTAAATAGAAAACTAAGTTCTCAAAAATTATCGTTAATTCTTAATAAGTTTAAGAAAGGCTGTGAGATATTTTTGTGTACTGCTTTGAAAACTTAACCTCCTTTATGGAGCCTTAGCATCCTATATTATGTAAAAGATACCATAGGACAAAATCAATTTTGGGGGAAAGAAATTAATATGTATTTCTACTTTTCCTTCTAAGTATTTTTTTTGTTTGGATACACTTATCATGATGATTATAATGAATTAAAACTCTGTGTTGTGCTTCTTCTGTCAGAAACTACCAGTGAAGCCAGAATCACAGGTCAGTTTCCTCAGAAATTGCAGGTGTATATTTTCTTCTAAGGCTAACTTTCATGTTACTCTTGAAAAGGAGATAGCTAGCATTTGTCTCTGCATTTCTCCATATGTGGTGCTGATTCCCTCTCTGTGGTGACTGAAGCCCTCACTGACCATACAGAGCTTTAATCAATTTTCAGTCTGCTTTATGACCTGGATGTACTTTAAATTTTAATCTGTCATTTTTCCATTGATTCATAGTTGAATTCACATAGTTTTGAATTTAACTGGATATGGCTGAAGAGGAAGATGCAAATTCTAAGGAACTGCTGTAAGGTTCTTCCATCATGGAAATCAAATGCCCTTTTGAAATGCAGTCATAAGCTGTGCAGCTCATATCTTCTGCAGATATGAAAGATGCATGAGCCTTTCATTAGGAGTATCTTATAAGCAGTGAAGAAGCATCTGAGTCTAGTTTCAACAGTCTGTGTGTGTCCAGAAAGCCTTAATGCTGCTTTTACTCATGTAGTCTGAAAGCATTACACTGGTGCTCCAATTTTAGACCACTGTCACTCTTGCCCTCTGTTTATTGCCAAAATCTTTGTATAGCCATTGATTGTATGATCACGTCCATTTATTCTCTGCAGGATTTGTGTCTTTTATATCAGTAATGGAAAGCCATAGGTTCCAATCTTCAACATATATCCCTTACTTCTGGGCTCATGCGAGGCTTAAATGCATGGTGATGACAATACATGCAGTTCTTGAAAGGGATCAGGACTCCTACTAAGGCATTGGATGCAATGGAGAGAGGATGTGGTGTTGCTGCCAGGTAGTGCCTGAAACTAGATACAGTAGATCCTAACAAAAGATGATAAAGATTGGACCATGCATATGCCACAGAGGTTCATCAGCCTGGTGTTTTTACACCTTTTTTGATGGTCTAGGACTTCCCCTAACACTTGCCATATTTTCTGTATGTTAAGAGAATAGCTAACTAGCATAAGTAATGTAGAAATTATTTTTGAGATGATGAGAATAACATGGTAGAAAATGTGTAGGTGGTAGAGATTAGATAAGGAGAGGGAGATGGTGTGAAGCTACGACTTAATTCGTGTATTTACAAGAGAGCAGGTTTCTTCGTATCACTCTCCACTTTGCAGTCATCAACCTTCTTTAAGTTAAAGTGTTTTTATCTAGTAGACTGTACCTGAAAAATATCTGCAAAAAAAGCTTGAAGAAAGTTGGCTGGGCATCCTTGTGTTTTATCTCCGTGTGTGTGTTCCTGTAGTTCATTTGCTGCACATTACCTCCCAAGCAGTTGTAAAGGAGACTTCTGCTTGTTCAGGTCACTCCCTGTTTGTCATTCCTGGCACTCGCCTGCGTCAAAACTGTGCTGCAAACACCAGGGCTCATAAACTTGACAGCATTTCCCATTTGAGCTGATAGATTGGGAAATCCTGAACATTTTAGACTGAATTCTATATTTTCTGTTAACTGAGATTAACTTGGGATTGTAATGGACTTTTCTTGAAGGTAGTGACAGATGACAAATGGGTAGCACAGCCGTGCATGCTGTCAAAATATTGGTCCAGAAAGTCTGGAGAGGACTTGTTGCAAGGTTATAATTCTCTCATTAATGCTAATGGGAGATTTTGGGCAGCCCACATCTTAAAAATCTGTTGACACGTCACTTGAAGCTCAGTGTATTTTTACACAAACAAATCTAGATTAGATGCACAACGTAAGCTTTTTTTTTTTTTTTTTTAATTTTAAAAATTTTAAAATTAATTAAAAAAAAAAAAAAGATCTTTGGGCGTAGGAAAGGAGAATTGCTTACTTAACTCCTCAAGGTAACAAGACACAGAGGACAGTGGAAGAAAGAACAAATAGTAGTTACTTGCTGTAATATGAATGCTTCTTCTTGAGCAGTGTTCACAGGTCTTGTGGTTTTGAACATACTGGGGGGACTTCATTTTTTAATTTGCTATTAAATGAATCTTTGGCACCAAAAGGGAAGGCACAGAAGATGTGAAACTGCTCTAAAAAACATTTTTGCTGAAAGGTTCTTTGGCTTCAAAGAACAGGCAAATAACTCCTTTAGTGTCTCCTTCTATTCTGTTTATTCATATAAGCATTTGTCCTCTCACAAATATGAAAAGCACTAGCTGAGGGAGATATTTTTGTCATCTGTCACAAAGTTTTAACACTGGCAGAAGAAAAAAATGGAGATGAAGACTGTCAATCAGAGTGCTGTGATGCTGCCTGGGCTGCTTGCTTCTATCTGCTGTTGTCAGAGAAGCCAGCCCAGGGCGATTGCTGGGTTTCAGTTCTGGTGTGTAGCCATGGGCAGGCCAGGGACAGCTAGCAGATGTCTTACATCTGCCTGGAAAGGAGTCCATTTATGTAACTTTGATCTGCGGCCAAGTCTCACGATGTCTTACTGTTGGGACAAACACTCGGTAACCTCATGGGCACGATGATGTTTGATACGTGCGCATCCTCTGCTAATTACCTTGTTTCCAAGGCTTAACCGTGCATTTTTGGTGTGTTTACAGGGGTGACCCTTCAATTGTGAAACTGAATATTGCTATTACCACAGGCTACCTCATTTCTGGTAATTATGCAACGTCATCTTTATAATGTGCTCAACATGTTTATTTATATTGAGTCCTATCTATTTACGTTTATCTTGAGACCCTGTTCTGGAGATGTGATGGGTGTAAGAATTTTAAAAGCCGCAGCAGAAGTTGTATTGTAATGGAGTTGTGGGGTTGTGGTGAAATCGCAGGATGTGAAAGATGGGAATGGTGTCTCCCCAGGCAGTAAGGGAATGCCATGGTGTGGCTTTGTGATGGTTTGGTACCCAATCACCAATTCCAGTTCAGATTGTACTTCAGCCACTTCAGAAGGTGTGGAAGGGGCTTGCTTCAGAGCACCAGAAACTAAATATATAACCTTCAATGCAAGTTGAGGCAAATGCTGCCATTGGATCTCACTTGCCCACCTTCTAACCTCACTTCAAACCAAAATTAAGTCACATATAAAACTTGAAAATTTAGAATTATTTTTTTAATGCAGCATTTACATTTAAATATGTTGATGTTCTGAATTATTGACTAACTAAAATTGGCATGGGAATTTTGCAAAAACACTATTTGGAACTTTTATTTTGTGTGGGGAATTGCTGACTTGCCAAAATGGAAACTCTTTAGCTTGGACTGTTTTCTGGGAAAACTTCCCTTGTTTGAATGGAGTCTTTCACCAGAGACTGCTCTGTATACTAAATTGTCTCTTGCAGTTGATTTCTCACTAATGGGTTTGGTGATCAGCACACGTGGTTCAAGTCTCTGGTTTGTCTGTAAGAGGAACTTCATCTTCCATGTTTAAATTCATTGGTATCTATTTCTAAATAGTGACACATTAGGCTTTCATTATGAATTAATGAATGCCTTTGAACAGAGACCTGAACTTGGCCACTCATTCTCTTCCTTATGTAGTTAATGTTTAATTATTTATATGTGGTGGAGCAGCTATATCAGATAATATGGAGTCCTGCCTGAGGACAGCTCATATAGAGAGATCAAGGCACTCACTGCAGATAGGAAAAGCATAATGGTAAGGTCTTTAATTCTGAACCTTGGTCACTAGTATTCCATTCAAAGTGCCGAGTATTCATTTATTTGGAGAAAGAAGAGGCATAAATTGCTTATTCCAGTACAGAACAGAAAATTTTCTGAAATCTCAGACAATCACAGGGCAAGAAGAAATTCTCTGTCAAAGCTTTCTTTACAGCAGTAACTCAAGTACACTGTATTGCTTTTGCAGTAACTGGGAAGGTCTGATTAAATAAAAGTGAGCATGCTTCTCATTCCACGTGTTTCTTGCACAGGATTAATGGTTCCCTGTTTGCAAGTATAAAGTTCTGAACTCACTAGTTCTCCATAGTAGATCCTTGCTTTTATTATAGGCATTTGTACATTGGCTATATATGTCCCTTCCCTTCCCACTCCTCTTTTTTTTTTGGTCAGTTGTTTCAAATTTGTGGATCTGTAATTGTGAGGTCTTCATATCAGATTCTGGATCCACCATTTCCTTCCAGAATACTTCAGCTAAAGGTATTGTCCCCATATTCCTGTTGATATGGAAGATAATTTATGGCAGCTGTTGGAATAACGTGTGCTTAATATTTTGTCAGAACTTTTACTGGAAAAAAATCTTTAGGATAAAGTGTGTTTCTACTGGTAGTGTGCACTGGCATTCATACCTCTAAAAACTAAGAGAAACACTATTCTCAAGTAAATGGTAGCATACTAACTTGCTGTTTAACATTATTTATTTTCTCTTGTAGATTTGTTGCTTATTATTTGCTACTGGAAGGCAATTGGTGACAAATTTTTTGTAATACATCACTTGGCAGCTCTGTATGCTTATTATTTTGTACTGGTGAGTGCTGTATTCTTTAGTAATGTAACAAGCAGATGAAAATGGAGACAGTGCTTTTATGAATCTCATTTCCTTAATGTTTAAAAAAGTTATTTGCTGGTTGGTGTGTTAACTTCATGATAGGCATATTTATATCTTCAATAAAGAGGTCACAAAATCACAAGTGTGAACACTTATATGGAAAACCAGGAGAAGATGATTTCAAATGTTTTGCTTGTTACTGTATTTTTAAGACTGTTGGTCAGTGATGTCTTGCTCTGGGCAGCTGGATGTGGTTCTTCTGGAGATTATTCTTTTTATTTAATTGCAGCAACAAAAGCAAATTAAAAACAACAGAAAAACTTTGTTTTTGTACACACTTATGTCACCCAGACATGAACACTTTATTATTATGGTAGGTAGGATTATGAAATGTATTTCTCTTCTGGATATTAAGCAGCTGGCATACAGCACATGTTAATATGCAATATAAGTATACTAATCTGAAAAATGAGCAATCACATGAAGTTCCCAATTGCAGATGATAAATAAACTATATCCGCTGTTTAGCTTAGACTAACGTTAAGCTTTGTTATAACTGAGACTTCTCAGTACGTGTATGTTGTTTGTTTGTTTGTTTTGTTTTTATGAAGGCTGATGCTGACCCTCTGAGACTTTTTCTAAGATTGCTGTGGTGGGGAAGCAGTTGATGATTCACTGTATATATCTTTCAATATCTGTGACATATGTACATGCACTGATGATAAAAGGGGAAGAAAAGGTTATTCTTCTAGGGCGAAGACTAACTCAATTACTCTTTGCTGCTGATTTACTGCTGGAATTGCTAAGATGCCTTTGTGATTTGGTAGAAAACCTGCTGACCTCCAGAGTAATGCTGCTAAAGCTCTTCTGAAAAGCTCATCCAGTAAATAAAGAAATCCTATAAAACACAATTTACTTCACTTACCACATCTCTTTCACTAGCTAGTTCATGAATCCCAGGCTTAAAATATTTAAAAATGTGTTGAGATGTCAGATTACTGCCAGATTTAAACCATCTAAAGGTAATGAAGTGCGCTGACAAGTAAATACTTTGTTTCGGGTTGGAGGTAATTAGATCTACTAATATTGTCATGGGTGAAACTGAATTAGAACTGGATATTAGAGAAATGAAAATATCACTCTTGAGACTAATCCCTCATGCAGAAAAATCAGTAGTTGTTTCTACTAGGAGTAATAATATAGCGTGAACTTTAAGCTCAATTTATTATTTGGATCCAACTCACCCACTGGATGTCTATGTCTGTGCCATGGGTTGTTCAGGAGTAAGGCTGAATTTTCTTTATCTCTACACCTGCCAACTGCTGCTTGCCCAGTCCTGGTGGAGTGGGATACTATTTCCAGCTCATGACACAACCAAAAGATAAGACAGAGAAGCCTGTGTACTTTGTCACTTAGAGGGAGGTGTTCAGTTACAATGTGTTTTGGTGGAAAAGTTCCATGCTGTTATCTGGATACCAACATAGGGAAGACAAAGTCTTCCAGCTTAGGGGATGTGGCAGGAACTGCAACACAACTGGTGGAAAGGATTTTCCTTTCAGAAGGCAGGAGAGAATTTCAAGGGCTTTGTGTGTCCTTTCTGCTGCCAAATAAAAGCTGATAATTTATCCTGATGTAGCTAAGTTGCATTCTTAAAACAATTCAGGGACATTCTTCACCTTACTGATTTTGTTTGAGTTTGTTTAAACGTGAGAAATCCAGAATATTTATAATCCCCTTAGACAGTAGCAGTACCATCATAGTTATATCCTACCAATTCTTGTGCCAGTCTCCTAGCTGGCTTCCCATTTCCTCTTATTTCTACGTCTTTTGAAGATTTATTTAAAAACAAAACAAAACAAAACCCTACTGATTCATGGTATTTAAAGGACAACAGCATCTTCTGTAGAAAACTTCATTTTGAAACTTTATGGAAGATTGCCACAGCTAAGAAACTGGCATACTGACCATCTTAATCAGGTATTTGGGTCATTGTATCATTCTGTGTACTCTTGAAGACTTCAATCAAGGTTCGTCTGCTAGATTGTTGATCTCTGTGTCTGCTTTGTCTTTGTCCAACTAGAGCAAAGGTCTGCTGGCTTATTTTGGGAACTTCCGTCTGCTTGCAGAATTCTCCACTCCTTTTGTCAATCAGCGGTAAGTAGCTGTGGAGTTTTTACACAGTTCTTTACATTTTTATCTATATTATATAGGAAGGATTTTGTCACTGAATAGCTGCTAAAAGTGAATTTTCATTTATTTAGAGTTTACTATCTGGAAATCTGTTTTGCTATGAAAACATTTAGCTGCTGTTGCTGCACAGCTGGTGTGCTCACTCCTGAGTACTTTTTTAAAGCAACCTTCATATGAAATGCCAGATTTTCATATTTCAGTTATAAAAATAGTTCTGGATTCTGAGCTCTTAAATTAGAAGAGTAGTAAAGCATTTAAATGCAGCTGTGGTAGTTAATCTTTACACTTGTGATCAGAGAAGAAAGTGGCAGGAGTCTCTTTAGCAGACTTCAGTGACAGTGGAATACTGCTGTGGCTTCTGGTTGTAGCATCACACTCAAACTGCTGCTGTGAGAATCAGGGAAGGCATGATAATGCCAAGGAGGACAGTCCCTGGAATTTCCCAGAGCTCTGGGCTGGGTGCCCACTTGCTCTGCAGCTGCTGTGACCTAACTGGAGACACCAACCTGCTCCAGGACTTCACCTCGAGAGCGGGACTTTGGTGTAGGATGGAGCTACTGTCATCTCCTCCTCCTCTTCCTCCCCCTCCTCCTCCATGTTTTTCTTTTGCTTGTAGTGTAGGATCAGATCTCACAGTGCACCGCATACCCATTCCCATCTTTTTTTGGGTGTTTCTACTTTACTGATCCTTCTTGTGTAGTATCTATTTTCCTTTCCAGGTGTCAGATACAGAAAGGGTGAGGGTGATAAGAAAAAGGGTCTATAAGCCTTCAGACAAGATGTCTAAGTATTATCTATTACTAGATTGTGATTGTCAGCTCCAAAAGAGTTCTTGAGACTGTAGCATTCCTCACATTTCTAAGAATATAAAGAACAAAAAGGAAGAATTGTGCTGAGGACTCTTCTGAATGTTAGCAAATTCAACTTAGAGGAGGGCAGGTAAAGGAGCTCTGCAGGGCTATTTCCATTTGTCCAAGAGAAGGCTGTTGTGGTCTAATTCAGGCTGTGCTCTGCTTGCACAGAGAAACCAAGGAATGAATAAACACTTCTTCAAGCTTGTTTTATAGGAGAGTAAGAAAGCAAGATGTAGTGTATTCTGAAGGTGGTATTATATTCTAGATTTCTCTCTTAGTGCTCATGTCCCAGTCATTGTTCTCATAACTGACTTTTATCAAGATATGATTTCATACTGGAAATGGATGCTTGCCTTTCAAATCTATTAAAAGTAGTATATATTATACTTTTAAATGCCTATGGTGAGACTGTGTCCTTGAAAACCCACATCTACTGCTGTCTGAGAAAAACAGAGGTCTCTGTGGAGACGATAAGGTCCTTCACACTGAGAAATGTCATCTCATTAGTGCATGGTTTTTTTTCCCATTACATTTGAAAAGAACCAGATGCTTAAGGCAGCAAGTGGTAGATAATGATTTACATTAAACTTCTGCTTTGCATTCTTAGTATTACCAAAAAAGAGCAGTATTAAAATATAAAATGATATTCTAATCTCAGAACTGAAGTATTTTCTTTGTTTTGGTGCTGTTAGGAGTATTTAATTCAAGGTTGTCCCCATGGCAAGCATTTAGATCTTTTTATGTTCATGTCAACATTTATGCAGTTAATTATAAACTGTGTTGGGTAAAATGTTAACAATCACTGAGATTTACTTATTCATATTTTTTGAATTTGCTGGGAGAGGGAAGTCTCTGAGCAGATGTCCAGTCACCCTTTTCTCCAGCAGTTACTTATCCTGGCACATTGCTGTGGACTTCAAAAGCTTTCTTTGATGTTACTTCTGGAATCTGCATTAAATATATTGAGGAAAATGCAGGCTCTGTCTCACTAAACATGCCAGGTCTCTATCAGCCCAGCGTTTTGGTGGGAAGATGTCCAGCTTCCTGATCAGGCTATCACCTGGAGAGCCTGGAGTTTGTATCTGCTGCATTCTTAACTGATTCTTGGTGTGTTTCCGTCAGAGCTGGATGTCTGGCAAGTCTTTTTAGTATATCAGTAATTATGTAGGTTGCAATCTGCAGATAATTAAAATTGACTTTATTTTTTACAAGTTTTCAACTTGTTATTTTGTTTAGTAGCTTTAACCCCGTGGCTTTTTGAAAACAAATTGATTATTCCACTTCCTTCTTCCCAATCGCTGTCATGAATATGTTGATTCATGCTATTTTCCTGTCTTTAACCTGGTGGTGTTGCTCAATTTTTCCTTGCATTTATTTATTATGTGCGGACGTGTCTCACTCCAATTATAGGAGAGAGAGAGAATGTTCTTTAATATATATGTGAACTCAACAGTGAGATTAAGACACCAGGGGTCAAATGTTAGCCTGACCAGCTTATTACAAATCCTAGTTGTTTACGGAGATGGGGAAAGGAAGACGGGCGAAAAAGCAAGCAGTTTTTGTAGAAAGCAAGAGAGAGAGTCACCACCATAGGTCCAGCGTGGTTTGTAGTGCATCTGTTGATCCCAAAAACTCATCTGGTCACCACAGGGCATGGGAGAAAGGCAGAAAGCTTTGCACTGTAGCAGCAAACAGAGCCCAGGAGGGGATTCTTTCTGAAGAGGTTTTTTTTCCTCTTAGGGAATTCCTCTGCCAAAGGTTCCTTCTCTTTGGGAGTTTCTCTCCTCCAAAGGTTTCTTTTCTTTGGGAGTTCTCCAGAGTCCTTAGTTTAGTGGGAACCTTTCATCCCCCGCTTTTCAGTTTCTTTTTTTAGTATTTTTTCTCTCTGTTAGCATGACACACTTGACCCAACAGATGAGCCAAAACGAAGTGGTGCCTCTGTTGCCGTGCACAAGCATTATTGCCTTTTGCAGTGGCCAGCTTCTTCAAGCTGCACTCCTGAAAAAGACTGCTTGCCCCACTTCTGCTTATCTTTACACTCATAAGCAGAAGTACTGTGGCATGGTGACACCCACCATTCGCCCCCCTGAGATCTATGAAATATTACGCCTCTATTTTATTACCATATCCAAACACAATGTTAGGATTGCTTTCAGGGCAGAAATATTTTTTAATTGTCTATTAATGCAAATTATAATAAAAAGCAATAAATTTGAATTTACCACCTTTAAAGTTACTTTAAATTATAGTGTAATGGTCATTGGCATACATACTAGTCTTGAACTGACTTACAATATGAACTGGGATTTTCTACGTGTTATTCTACACGTAATGTTCTTGACATCATGCAGTGCTTACCTGGGGGGAAAAAAAAAAGAAACCAAGCAGAAGAATTTGCAAGGTAAGCCAAGAAACTATGCAATAACTTAGAAATAGAAGCAATAATTTAGAAATGCAAGGTAGAAACAATTAAAAAAATACATACTTAATTAAGAGAAATAAAATCTTCTTTGATTAAGTGGACTTAAGTGTGCCTGCCGTCTGTGAATACTTCTTTTGCAGGTGGTTTTTTGAAGTACTGGGATATCCCAAATCTTCAAAGGCTAACATGATCAATGGTGTGCTGATGACAGTTGTGTTCTTCGTGGTGAGGATTGCCGTCATGCCTATGTATTACAGCCGTGTATTTTCTTCATTTGGAACTGAGGGTTTCCAGAGATTAGGATTTGCAGCCCAGAGTGCCTGGATTATCTCAAGTGTTGTCTTGGATGTTATGAACTTGATGTGGATGGTCAAAATTACGAAAGGTTGCTACAAAGTTATTTGTCTTGTTGGACAGGAGGAAGCCAAAACTCATAAAAATGGAAAATCTGACTAGAGATCATACTCATAAACAGAAATTTCTGCTATGAAAATTATTTGGGTTCACTGAACCAGTGCACATTTCTGCCATGGAATGCTCCTCTTAAGGAAACAAGGTATTACCTCTGTACTGACCTTACTCTTTCCCTAGCCACACTGCCTGCGCACCCAGGGCCACGCTTTAAGGATCTTCTCCAATGAGGAATAGAAGCAAACGTTCACAGAAATGAATGCTACATGTTCTGAGCACTTAACAAACTACTGAAATGAGGAAGGAGCAGACTGGTTACTTGGCTGTTGTCCACCAGTGTGTCTGAAGTGTTTCACTCAGGTTTCTCAGATTAATGTGTTTTATAAATCTAGTGAATATTGATATCTCTCTTTTATAAAAACATAAACAAAGCTCCCCAAACTCATGATATGGTGCAATTTTCCTGGCAAGTTTCTATATTTTCTTCTAGGAATAACAATCAAGATTTCATTCTTGAGAACTTTTTAATTTTTGCAAGAGATGCTAAAAGTCTAGCTCTGATTCTGTGAAGTCTTTTACTGCTTTTTGTTCTGCCTTGTAGGAGTGCAAACCATTTGGGGAAATTTATGAAATAATTTTATCTAAAATGCTGTATTATAAGACCATACGAGATATCTTAAGAGTGGTTAAAATTCTCTGATTTTTATAGGAAGGATTCATTTCTGCTTTTTTAGATTGCATGCAAGAGCACATCTACTAAATCAGCCGTGGAAATGAGTTCATAAGTTAGTATGGTAAATTATGTTTGGGAACAGCATAATTCTTACTGTAGTGCTTTTTTCCTTTGCTGCTACTGCCTTTGAGAAGTATTGCAACTCTGCTCAGAGTTAACCATTGACTTTTGGGATATGAAGCTTACTTAGAAAACGATAAAATCATTCTGTGTATGTGCCATGGAACTTACAATGAGCCTTTTTTTTTTTTTTTTTAATCACACAAGTGACCCATTAGATATGATTGCTGATTTTTATTGTCATGTTTTCCTTGTTAATCACATCTGAGCTGTTGACTAAAGAACACTTTTGAATTAACAGTGCCAAACTTCTTTCAACCTGTGACATACAGTGACAGCTCACATCTGTAGGCACAACATTTTATTTTCATAACTACATATTTGTCAATAGGCACTCTGTTCCTCCTTCTGCAGACTTAAAACTTGGAGGACATTGGAGAGAAATCTTAGTGTCTAGGAGGAATGCTCTCAATCCGAATTGTACTATAATTTGAGGAATTTTATTTTTTTATGATTTTGAGAGCGGTATTTGTGTATAGTTTTGGTTCTGTTTTGCTTACTTTTAATCATATCTGAATTGAGGTTGATTAACTTCTGTTTGTTTCTTGATTTTTTTTTTTTTAATTATTATTTTTTGGACATTGTGTTGTTAGTTATACCTTCTAACAAAGTGTGCTAAATGTACACATTTTCACTTGGTACTTCAGTACACATACCAAGTATTGTAGCAGACTGTGTGTAAGAAATTTATTTTTAAACAAAGAGATAAATATTTCTGGGATATTTTGTTTTCCTTTTTTCCTGTTCCCCTTAACAAAGCTGTGTGGAATCAGCCCTCACCTCTGCAGACCGCAGTGTCAGTGCACCAACACTACGATGCTTTTGGGCGACAAACAGGGTTTGTTTCCCAGGAATCAGATGTCAGGGAGCCCCAGAGAGAACCCCATGGACTTATAGCCAAGGCAGCTGTGTTGAGTTCCCAGTTCCAGGGATGTCAGAGAGTATTGTTTGATATGCACAATACTGGCTTTTATCCGCTTGGTTTCACTGGGCAGACGTTTTCCAGTACTGTTTCCAATCCTGCCCTCTTGAGGGAGATGTCTAAGATTGCTTGTTCAGTTCTACAATCACCTTCAAATGAAGTAAATTCAAACGTCTTGGAGAATATGCTTGAAAGTAGAAGTATCCTTGTATTTTATTCAGGAAGTAGGATGAAAAACTGGTAAGGAAGATGAGTTGAAGCAGCTTTTAAGATGAAAGCTTCTCAAAGTTCATCTCAACTTCACATTAATCTTTGACATCTCAGTATCATTTTGTTCTGCTTTATTTTCAGTGTAGAGCATTCGCTAAAAGTCAGTTTGCTTTACTTCTAGATAGATTTGTGCATCACAGGGGGGAAGTCAAGCTGTAATAAGGTTGTTTTATAAGTAGATTGGAAACGGAAAAACAAGCCTGCAGAGTGCATACTGGGCAACAACTCAAAATAGAAGGGCACTGAGGTAATTCTTTAGAAGATGCAATGTTTTGGATTGCTGCATGAAATTAACATAATTAAAACAACATTTTACAATGTGTTCAATTTCATTTTTGTATCGTGATATTTCAGTGTATTACTGTTCAGTTCTGATGCATCTACTACGTGTGAGAAGGCAACTGTCTAAGGAAAAAGCATTATTAACACTTGTCTATTTAGCGATAACTGTAGTCAGCAGTTTGCAAAATTATATTGTATTGAATACATTAGGATAGAGCACTCTTACCTGCCACTACAAGTTTATAACACAGCAAATTAGATGGCCTTGGCACCTATTTTTTCAATTACACCTTCTTAATTTAAAAATGATGTTGAAATATTGACATCATTTTACGTTTCAAGCTTGTCTCTTTGCTTTTTTTTATGCAAGAAGTGCATGATTAGTAGGATTTTCATAAATGTTGTCTCCAGAATGTAATATTACTTTAATAGTGACTTAAAACTTCTATTTTGACACTTGCATTGTAGAGCAGACAGTTGGTATATCGCCAGGTGACTTTACCGTGGACGTATTGAATGGATGGAATTAGCTCAGTAAAAATGCTCAAAAATCACATTTTATTTTTTATATTCTTCAGTACTGCATTACATAAAATTAGTGTGGTGATCATGAGAGCGTCTGTATGTGCTGTATTTAAGTATGCCAGTTTCTCTATGGTTTTACTTTGTCATCAGAGATGAATAAATACCGCTCTCAGAGCTACTATAGGGGAATGGTAGGTCAAGTTTTGCTTTTATAATTGATTTGTGGAAGCAGTGCTTGCAGAGGGGAAAAGTACTTCAAATCCTCGTTTTCTTGGTGAGCGTTCCAGCAGATTTCAGTGAAGACAAGAGCCTTATTGCTACAGAGATGTTTAATGGGTATCTGTACACATAGTGATACAAATTTTATCTCTGAAACCTACTCTACCTCTATAAGTAAATGCTCTTTTGGGTGAGCTCAGCACTTTCTTAATTGCTTAAAAATAGAATCTACTGAATAATGAAAGTTATTCTATGAGCAGGATAAATGAGAGGAGCTGATTGATGTATATAAATTCTTATCAATTCCAAATTTTATGTCAAAGTTTATTAAAAATAAATTAATTACAATTTTTGGAAGATAATTGCTTTCATCTTTACATTAAAAATTATGCTGAAGCATTATTCATACTGAAAAATTAATGTTAATCTCTGAGTAAAAGCTTACACAAGTGAGCAGATACGTTCAAGCATATTTAAAGAAGGGAGGTGGAGGAGATGCTGAGTACAACTGCTGCTGTGGCTGGGACAATGGTACAATGACAAGCAGCAGAAAGATTATGTATTCCTGTATCTCTGTAATGGTACAAAGTGAAACTAAAATTTCTTTTCAAGCTGTATAAAAAGGCTTCTAAGTTGTTGATTTCTGTATGAAGACGACTTGTGTGTGTTCAAGTATATGTACATACAAGCTTTCTGTGAAAGGTCTTTTAGTAGAAAAGTTTGTGAAATTGTTTTGTAAAGCTTCTGCTGAGCCATTCAGGGGAAAATAAAGGGCTGACTCAAAATTACTCCAGCTGAAGGTCTATTACAGTGTTCAGCAATGGGGAAAGCCATGTAGAGAGGAACTAGAATTTTCAGATGAGCAATACAAATGTAGAAGGCTGTGAGAAGTATGTGTAGCCCTCTTTCCCATTTAATAATAGCCTTCCATAGAACTTCATTAACCAGTTGCAAGGAACTTAACAAGGCAGGACTTGTTCCTGGTAAAGTGTCTCTACCCATGGAATGCATTTGACAGCTGGAGAAAGAACAGTACTTTGCTGCTGAGGTCCTGGCACCAGTCAAATGGAAAAAAAATTATTAATATTTACTAACTTTAACATTCATCCAAACCCTGGGTGAAATCTCTTTGCTGGACAGGTGAAGGTCATATGATTTTCTGAAAGCAACTTGAAAAGTCTTTTTATGGAGGAAAGAAAGAAAGATGTGCTGCTTGGGATGTTTAGAACTCTGGGATTAAGCATCAGATCAATACTTTTAGGTGACAACACTTATGATTTCTTATCCATTTAAAATCTCTACTAGCTACCTCCTTTGGCATTCTTGCTCTATTTATAATAACCAAGCACTTTATAGCTCAGTAAAGAATGGAAGGTAGCTATGAAGAATAACTTGTATTGTTTGGTATAAGAAATATTTTGTCAAAATTCCTTCTGAGATCAGCTTCATGATGGGGTGTCCTAAGAGGGCATCTGATAGCAATGTACATAAATTTTTAATCTACTTGTAATATAAAGGAAATGTCTTTAAGAGAGTGGTTTATGAGGAGTTCAGCATGCCTCGGTATCAACCATATAATGATGCAGTGTGCTATTTATAACTTTTTAGTCATTGAAATTGAAAATATAAAAACAAATAAAATATTCTGTAGTGTATCTTTATTTTTAGTCTGTGTGTGGGATGTCAAAAACTGTACTTGTCTTGTGGATGGCACATGCCTTTATGAGCCTATAAATATTTAAGTATATAAGAAAATGCACCCGAGTGGAACATGTTGCATGGAAATTGTCTTCTAAGTTTAAATATTTTGTTATTGAAAAAATTCTGATTGTTTAAATGCAACATTTAAATATCAACAGTAAGCTCCAATACAGAGCATAACACTTTGAATGCAGTACAGGAGATGTTGGTTTTGTTCATTGTAACACTATTCAAGTTTGACAAGAGAAATCCATTATATTATAGGGAAAGGGGGGAAAAGGGCTAATCCTGAGCTCTGGTATAATTTGCACACTTAATACACTTACATGCAAATATCCTGGATTTGTTTCTAGCATGCATAATCCAGTGTTTAATGTCTACAGATACCTATATGGGGAGAATGATTTAACATGTAAGCACAGTTAGACTGATGCAAAAGCAAATTACAATCTGTTGGGAACAAGTGAGTTATGATTTAGGCATAAGTAATAGTAATTTAAAAATGTTCATGTAATCTTCGAGAGAGACTCAACAAATATGGTATACCTCTGCTCTGATACAGAGCAAGGGTGAAAACTGGACGTTCTTCCAGGCTGATTTCTGGAAAACCATGACAATCTGGTCTGCAGAGAAAAGATTGATACTGTCACGGAATGTTAGGATCATATTATTAAATTCAAATAGTAATGTGGCCTGATTGTAGTAGCAATCCTTATCACTGCACAAGAACTTAAGAATGCAATATAACAATTCTGAAGATTGGATACAACAGTGAACAGGTGAAGTAAGGTGAATGGTTAAATACAATGCATTTAGATTTTCCTTTTGCTATAAAATTCTGAATTGTGTTTGCATTTCAGTATACTGTAGAGCATTTTTGTATTTGGTTTGCACAGTCTAGGAGCTTGCATTATATTGGCTGATTTTTTTTCTTTGGTATATGCAATAATGTCAATGAGCAATAAATTGCATGATGTATGCAAGGTATTGTTACTTCATAATAAAAAGAACAGAGTTGCTTATTTTGTGAATTTTTCTTTCTTATTGTGGTAATAGCTTATGTATCTATAATAATAAATGTGTCATGAAAGAATGACTTGCTTTGGGTTAAGCTGAGAAACAGTTGGCTTGTACAATACCTTGAAGTTGCTGCACTTTGCTTTATGTGCAGGGGAAAGAAGGGGGGGGTCTAAGCCAGGTGTGTAGAGTGGGTGGACTTAGGATGAAATGCTGTGTAGGACCTCACTGTGGCCAGGAATGTAACTGCAACTGTAAATTGTTGTGTACTGGGGAAAAGCTTATGTTTATATCGGACAGTATTAACTATAATGTGTTATAATACATTTCAGGACATAAGTCAACACTTCTCTGCAGGCTGTGGGTATAAAGAGCTGCTGTCATCTGTGTGTTATAGATGCAATGCATTACACAGTCCTTTCCTGAATACTGAGATATGCAATTAAGTTCCTTAATTCTCAGTTTCTCTATGGGCAGAGAATGTACGCCTGGGAACCACAAACTGCATGGAAAAGCCTGGTGATTTCTCTGAGCATGCTCAGAGGAAGTTGCTGCTGTTGTGTATCTTTGGCAATTTCTTGTATTTCTCTAAGCTTTTGAGTTATGCACTGATTAAATTTCTAGAAGAAAATACAGTGATTTTTACTACTTTTATTTCCTCTCATGTCTTAAGGGGAATTTTGTGCTATTTGTAAATGATATTCTTAGGTTACTCATTTTATACTTTCTGTAGAAAACTTGTCCTTAACCGGTCAATCTGTCTGCACTGACTCAGGCTGGGAATGTCTGGAAGCCTTCCTTAGGGTCAGATGCTATGTAGGTCATTTTCCAACTGCTTGCAAAAGGACAGTGAGGCTCGGTGGGACGCTGTTGTTCAGCACCGTATGGCTTTCAGCACTGAATGGAGGAAAGGAAGGTCAAAAGGTGCCTGAGAACAAGGGATGCCGTTCTGTGAGCCGTTCTCAACTGCACAAATTCAACAAATCTTGTTGAAAGCATGAGAGCCCCCACCTGAGATATAGAGGTGGATATACAAAATGCTTCCTATGTCATTTTCTGGTGCATAGCTCCCCCATTTATATATGGTTGGTTTTTTTGTTGTTTTTGTTTTGTTTTGTTTTTTAATTTTGTGTTCTTTCTGAAATTTTCCTTTGTTTTTGGTACTTGTATCGGTGCAATAATTCCAAATTAGTGGCTTTGCTCTGCTTGTTTTACGTCTTCACAGTAACAGGGCATCTGTCATTTTCTAAGGGATGCATATTGTGAGTATACTCTGGTTTTACTCGGCTTTTCTGGAGTCCATAGAGGAGAATACTTAAGGGCAGTGTGTACTTCCTTGTGGCTGTCACCCTGCTCTTTGCAAGGTAAAAGTATTTGCTGCAGAAATTCCGTGACGGACGTGGGAAGATGTCCCTGTATTGAGAGATGGTGCGTGAACGTGTTCATAAAAGCACTGAAAGATTTTTTAATTCGGGTGCTTAAAACGACTGTACTCTTACAGACTTGGCGTGCTACAGTTGAATGGCAGCAGCCCTGACCAGCGCAGGCTCCCGCCTTGCGCCCGCTACGGACTCCCTGGCGGCTCAAGGGAGCTCAGCCCGCCTTCCCACTCCGTCCTCAGCGTGGCGCCGTACCGGGCAGGCCGCCTCCTACCGGCAGCAGCCCGCGGCAGGGCCCAGCCCGCCGCGCCGCCTGGAAGAGCGGCCCGGGCACGACGGCGCCCCCGCGGTGGGCGGGAGCGGCAGTTGCGCAGGCGCGGGGCGGGCGGCGCTCTCGCGAGGCGCGCTTCTACGGGGTCGCGGGGGGGCGCGGGCCGGGCAGAGGTGAGCGAGGGAGAAGGGAAGGGAAGCGAAGCGAAGCGACGCGACGCGACGCGACGCGACACGACTCGACGCGGGAAGCGGCGGAAGCAGCGGCGGGGCGCGGGCCGCGGCACTGGGCCGGGTCCGGCCCCTGTTGGCGAAGAGGGGCGGGCCTGACCTTGCCTGCGGGTGAATCCGGTCACGGTGTGTGTTACGGGTCACGGATCGCTTCCTGCAGCGAGGCGAGGCCCGAGGCCGCCGTTCCCAGGAGGCGCCGGCGTGGCAGGAGCCCGCTGCGTGCGTGCGGCATCGCCCGGGGGCTGCGGGCAGCGCCGCGCTGAGAGCCGGGGAAGTGGCCTGAGCGGAGCGTCCCTCCTGTCCTCCGCTGTACGCGCTGTGGAGGCCGCGGCCGTGGGTTTTTATTCAGGCAGTGCGTTTATGGCTCGCAGTGGTTTTTTGTTATTTATTATGGATGTGTTTTTAAGCAATATGTGATGCTGTGGTATATCTGTATGTGCATTCCCTATAGTGAGTAGTGAACGTAAGTTTCTTTACAGGTGTTTGCTTTTTTCTTTTCTTTAGAAACTTGAACTGAAAAGCCTGATTTCAGCAGCCATGGGTCTGTCTGCATCCGCCCCAGCGGCCACAACTCAGTCAGCAGCCGAGCCATCCAAACAGCACCAGGCAGCCTCTCCACCTTCAGAATGCCCCATGCATCGGGAGAAAATGAGAGGTAACTGTGCTTGAAAGCTAGTGAAGTTAGCTCCTTACAGTGAAAGCTCAAAAGTATTTGTCAGGAAAAAAAAACAACTGCATTAAGAACTTGAGCCTGTTCCCCACCTAGGGTGATTTGCCGGTAGCAATTGGTGACACAAACTCAGTTGTCTCCCAGAGGAGATGCCTGCTGCAGAACCTATGGGCTGCTCCTCCTTGGCTTTCCCCAGAGGGGCCCTGCAGGACAGATCCATGTGGGGCCAGACTGGTGCCCATGTCCGTTTGGGGGTGGTCTCTGGGAGCAGATGGTTGTGCATCAGGGAAGGGGCAGCAGAAGGGTACAATGAGGTCAGTGTCTGGGGAAGGACAATGTCCGCTCTTTGTCGGCAGAATGAACACAAGTTGGATTCACGTTGCTTTGGAAATCTTGGTGACAAACAGCTTGGTGTAGCAGCCAGTCATAGAGCAGTGTGTAAGCATTCAGGGCCTCTGTGAGAAGCTTAGGTTTGAGCATAGTATTGGGTGCTAAAACAGGCAAGACAAAAATATTTACGAAAGTTGGAAAGTGTTCTAAAACTCAAAATAAGAAGTGAAATAGCATTCTTGTATTTACATTAGTATTCCATGAAGTGTTTTCCGTCTCCTGTCATGTTTTAGAGACTTCTTTTTGTAACAAAACATATATAATGCTTTTTCCTATATTTTAGGTTGTCCAATGCGCATGAAGACTTCTGACCGTAGGGCTGAGAACACAGACAATGTTCCTGCACATCAGGAAAGAGCATATGAATATGTAGCGTGTCCTGTGAAGTCTGGGACATCTCAAGCAAACAATGACATAGATCCTAGCAATATGGTAACTTTCACTTGGTTCAGATGTTTTCTTCAGTCTCATTTCTTCTGAAATGCCAAAAATGTAAATACTGATGCTGTGTAAAATGGGAACTCTGGCAAATAACGTTTTTTTTTCAATTTTAAAACTGCTTTTTCTGATTGTTCATCCAAATATTTTTGGATATTTAATTTTTTAATTTATTTTAAACCAATATAGGGTTGAAAGCTCTCTTCTTCGAAGTTGAATCATTTTTGATAAAAAGTAGTTTTGTAGTTTGTAAATATTTGATGCCATGTATTTCTGTTAGTTACGTACAAGCATGGTTCTTAAGTTACATCAGCGGTTTGTAGGTTCTGTGCAATAGTGGGATGGTAAGTTCTCATTCAGGTCTTTCTGACATTTCCTCTGAATACAAGAAGACTGCAGATTTGATAGTTGAAGTTTACACAAAAGATGTCCTTTGGTTTTAGATGACAAACTTACACAAAGCATTTTGTTGCAAAAAAGAAAGATGACCTCGCTGGATTTAATGTGAAGGCTGAATTTCTTCGTCTTGGATGCTTAATTATTGCTTTATTTTTTCTCAAAGATTTAATAATTTCTAGTTTATTTTTGCTTTTGTTGTTCAGGTGATTCTCTGTGTTTTCTAGATGCCTCCTCCTAATCAGTTGCCATCTCCAGATCAACCATTTCCATTGTCAACTGTTAGAGAAGAATCTTCCATTCCTAGGGCACACTCTGACAAGAAATGGGTCTATCCTTCAGAGCAGATGTTTTGGAATGCTATGCTAAGAAAAGGGTAAGTACACTGGATTTTCAGCTGAAGTCTCCATGAGCCTGGGATTTTTGAAATAGCATCATTAGTTATTAATTCATAGATGCTATTTAAGAGTTTCAAGCAGGAAGCAATTAACTTGAAAAAGTACTGCTTTTAAAAAAAAAAAAAAAGCTTTAACATTGTATATGAGCCAATCTCATAGACTTTCCTTCCCCATCATCAGCAAGGTGGCTGAGAATGTCAAGGCAGCTGCTACTAACTCAGAAGATTTTTTTAGAAGTCACTGCATAGGTGCAAAAAGACTTTGACTACCTACCTTCAAATGGAAGAGACTTCAGTCTAATCCTATAAACTGACAGTAAAAATTCTGTGAATCCAGGAGCATTCATTTGACTCTGTGATGCTGCTAAAAATTTGAAAATTATGTTTGACTTGTAGATGTTTTCTGTCTAAACAAAACTTCAGTGTAGGCAAGATCGAACTGAATGATAGATGATTCATTGGCCTATAAAAAAAAAATCTCTGCTGCTGTTTCTGCAGTTCTTTGTATTTATTTGTTTGTCGTTCTGAAACATCAACTTTAAATGCAGTTACTATTAAAACAGTAGCGATTCTTCGATACTACTTTTTGATTCTAGAGACAACATCGTGAGCAGTTTGTATTGAACACAAATTTTTATCCTGTAAATGCTTTCATGTATTCAATTTTATGCCTATTGGAAAGGAAGGCAACAGTCACAGTGCAGGATCAGAGAGATGGAAGGTGTTTCAAAGTGTATGCAAAATGTGTTGAGTAAAGGACTTTTGTGCATTAAGAACGCAAGTGGGATTTTTCCTGAGCATTTTTACAAATGCTGTGGATGTGCCATTGTTTGC